TATTAAATTAATATTCGCGTACTGTAATAATGTGGCGATCATCATCTTTAAGAAACCGCGTCTTTTTCTCTAGGGCTACGGAGGGCGGTTTAGCACCGGATGCGGCTGCAGGTGCAGGCGCGGGCACCGATGGCATCGTCGGCGGTCCCAGGACGCCCCAGCAGATCGCCTCGCAGAAGCGGCTGCAGGCGACGCAAGCGCAAGTCGACGAGGTCGTCGACATCATGAAGACGAACGTCGAGAAGGTCCTCGAGCGCGATCAAAAGCTCTCCGAGCTTGACGATCGAGCAGGTGAGACTTTTATGATAATAAAAACTTTGCGAGAGAATAAGAGAATTGATAGCGATCGTCGTTCCTGATTGCTAAAAGTTTCATTGCGAGCTTCATTAACCGTTAATTATCTAAATCAGAGCCTATTTATTACCGAATTATTACCGTATTTTATTTTGTGATTACGTACATTCCGTGCTCAATTATATTCATTATCACCAATATATACTCATTAATTATATACATTGCTCCATTTACTGCTTCTGTATTTACAAGCATTCATTCATGCCAGATATTATTTATTGCACGCTGAGAGATTAATTAATATTGTAAAAGAGAGAATGAAATACATGTACATTGCTCTGTCTTTGTATAAAAAGATACTGTACAAAAACCGAAAAATGTATGTCACTATGGATATACAACTATGGACGAGATAATAAATTTACGCAATTTATTTTACACATGCGTCATACAAGAATAATGTTACATTATTCACGTCCATTATTTTTTTACCGATTAGATGGAAAGTATATCCGCGCGAAGGCTACATCTTCCATTCATGGCAAAGTAGTTCGACCCTGCGCGTCTGACTACACGTTGATATCGATTACTGTGATACGCTCGAATCGATGCCACGTTATGTGGCTGGTAGATCTTTTCTCACGCAATCTACTGATATATTTATTGCGCGAACGTATAATTCGTATTTCGCGTTATTTATGTTTGATAAATATTACAGAATATATTTGTTTCTTTTTAATAAAATTATATTTAAAAGTGTTCGAAATACAATTTGCAATATAACACGCTCGCGTAATTGATTTTTGCAGATGCACTCCAACAAGGAGCGTCACAATTTGAACAGCAAGCAGGAAAATTGAAGAGAAAGTTCTGGCTACAGAATCTAAAGGTGAGTATGAAGTTTTACAAATTGAGAAATATTTATCATAATGCTTGAAATTTTTTTAATTTAATAATAATTATCCCGTTCTTTTTTCTAAATAGATGATGATCATCATGGGTGTCATCGGACTCATCGTACTGGCCATTATTGTCGGTAAGTGTCTCACTAACGCACTGACGTTTAACAGCTGTCAACACTGCCACTGTAACTGTTTCAATGTTTTGTACCATCTCGTCCCGATGTATATCTCGTCTCGATTTCAAGCGACTAATTCAGTGTTACTCTCTTTAACGCGCTTTTTTCTCTGATATGGTGGAAGTGTCGACCATTCGTCGCGATTTAACCAGCTGAATATTACTTACAGATAGATGTAGTTATAGAAATTAATAATTATATTTTCAAATTCTTATCGATACAAACAAATATGAACCTTCTACCGCAATTAGACTAACTTCTGTTTAAAACTTTACGATATTCACCGTATTTCGCATCTGAATCAGTCGTTCTTGATTAATGTCTCTCTGTCGATCTATACCCTTTATGAAGTGTCGACCATTCGTCGCGATTTAACCAGCTGAATATTACTTACAGATAGATGTAGTTATAGAAATTAATAATTATATTTTCAAATTCTTATCGATACAAACAAATATGAACCTTCTACCGCAATTAGACTAACTTCTGTTTAACTTAAAACTTTACGATGTTCACCGTATTTCGCATCTGAATCAGTCGTTCTTGATTAATGTCTCTCTGTCGATCTATACCCTTTATGCTAAAAAGACATCTACAAACGATTGTGTTTGCACGATGCGAAAAACGACGCGATGTGACGAGCAAAGTGTTGTCCGCGAGTTTGCATAGCCTTTGAGAAATCCTCTCGAAGGGATCTCTCAAGATTTCTCGAAGAAATGTGCCGTAACAAATTGCCTATCGTGCTTTGCTTGAATTATGTCGACTACCTGACCTCGATCCATTTTCACGGAATTTTTTCAAAAGCATCATATTCGCGAACATTTCCTTTCTATTTCCGAATAATTTTCAAGTCTATTGAAGTTCTACCTCGCAATAATATCATTCTGGTGTTAAGTGTAATTGAAATGAAAATATTACTTCTTTACAAGAATGCGTCTTTATCACGCCGGGGATATGAAATGAGCGAGAAAGACACCGCTACATATGACTCATCCGAAAAAAAAAATGGTGTCACAACTCTGTCTTCCTTTTGTCCATTCATCATCTAACATGTGTGAAATGTATGTATTTCTCTTTTTCCGTCTAGCGAACTTCATGTAGGCGCGCTGATTGGTGGAAGAGATTTGTGTGTGAGTGAGTCTGAAGGTAGAAAGCAAAACAATTGCGACATTGCGTATCATTGTTGTTTCTCACCCCGTTTCTCGTACCTCTTTTTTACTTCTCGTAGAAAATGTACACCCCTGAATCTGTACAACTTTCTGATTTCGTTCTCGTTGTTTATCATCCGATACTGGAACTTCACTCACCCAAAGCTTTCAGACAGTGTCTTAATTTTGATAATGTCACGTATTAAGCATTGCCAGTTTTATAAGGAATTAAACGGACATTTCTTGTTTTTTTTTTCTTAAATAATTATAATATTTATCAAAATTATTATTAATCAAAAATTTGAGTAATAAAATGTGATGTAACACAATATTACAATAATTATTATTATATTATATTATTATTATTAATATTATTACGCTTTCTTGTAAAAAATGCACAAATGGACTCGTGCATTTATAAAACTGGCACTTCTCTAGTCGATGTTACGTTGTGTTTGCCTGTGTGATAGGTACTTGCTGATTTATCTGTTGCTACGTGTATTTTCTATATAAGAACCGTTGTTCCTCCCACCTTCCTTCACTACTCTGAGTCGTTGCATATTTATAAACTACCGATTTAATAGGAAAGTGCTCTCTAATTAAAAATATCATGGCAATATACTGTGCATCTTGATAAATTTTCGACGACATCCTCCTTCATTTCTGAATTTTTTTCTATCACGACACAACGTACAAATCAACGTCAAATATAAACAATTCGTAAAAATTATGATATACTACATGGTATATCTACTAGGAATCTTCTCAATATTTTATCCCATATTTTCAGCGTTTCTTTAAAATTCATTCAAAGACGAGAGAAACTCGCTACAATAAATCTATAATTTTTCAACATGGGATATTTCTCACGACACTTTTGAATTAATTTAAATATACTGTGTATATGTAATTAAAATATATATTGAAATAAATCATCGATTTCATTAAGGAATATCGATGAAGGAAAGATTCGCTTTTAATGAAGAAGACACACTTTTCCGAGACACAATCATACCTCACCCTGTGTGTGTCTGTGTTACAACTGTAATCGTTGTTATGTGTCTGTCTGTACTTTCGGTGGTATCCTCTTTTTGAAGTTAGTCCCAGGCAATGATTTTCAATTTTCTGGTGGTCAATTAACAAAGAAAAAGAAAACACAAAAAGTGTGTAAATACGTGAAACAACCTAATGAATGTGAAGCTTCAAAAATTGTGATTCGCGACTGCGACAGAAATAAAGAAACGAAACCACCAAGATATGAAAACACCACAACGATAAACGACAACATCAACAACCACTACAATATCAACAACAGTAAGAATTATCAAACAACTACAACTATAACAACTACAACAAAAAAGGTCTCTCTCAAAGTTTTTGTTTAATCCTATTCTACTCTTCAGTACGGTAAGCTATGATTTTATTCTTGCACCTGATGACTCTATCTTTTTCTCTCTATTATTCCGCCAAAATGCAATTTAAATCTTCTTTAAGCACTTTCTCTTATTTATTTTCTTTTTTATTGATTATTATATATTCACATACAAAAAATTTGTATGTAACTTTGCTTAAATTTATAATATGCATTATATTGTAGAAATGATATTTTTTTGTGTTTTTTCATAATTAAAACATAAATTACATAATGATTCTATTTAATAATACATCTAATTTTATATATTTTACTTTTAGATACAATATATTAATATTATATAATTAATTCATTTCTGTTTTTTGCATATATTAAAATAATATTAATTAAATATATTATTAATAATATATTAATATTAACGATACATTTATGCATATTTCATTCTGCATGTTTTTCTCTTTCTCTTCACTTTCCACCTTTTACTTTCTTTCAACATTTTTCAACTTATATTACAGCGTGAAACTCTCTCATACACCGTATCCTCAGGAAATAAATATTCGAATAATGCATTTTAATATAGATACGAATCAACTTAATATAAATGTTTCTGGGACGATCTTCGCGCTTCGTGCTTGACCTCTTATTACAGAGCATGTATCATCGACTTAATTATTTCTCCATCCTCGTTAAGCTCGCATCCCCACCACAACAAATTAAAATAAAACATATGCCAAAATTAAGTGCTATTTTTTTATTGATTATTATATATTCACATACAAAAAATTTGTATGTAACTTTGCTTAAATTTATAATATGCATTATATTGTAGAAATGATATTTTTTTGTGTTTTTTCATAATTAAAACATAAATTACATAATGATTCTATTTAATAATACATCTAATTTTATATATTTTACTTTTAGATACAATATATTAATATTATATAATTAATTCATTTCTGTTTTTTGCATATATTAAAATAATATTAATAACATATTTTGTATTTTGTAATATAAATATATTTCCATCCTCGTTAAGCTCGCATCCCCACCACAACAAATTAAAATAAAACATATACCAAAATTAAGTGCTATTTAAGTGCTAATTTGATGCTCTATTTCTGATTTTAGTGCTCGAACTATTTAGCAGGAATTCGCGATTTAAAGTGGGGGAGCTAGCTTTCATCAAATTAGCACCCCCATTATTAAATACTTGCACAAAATTCAAAAATAAATATATCAGAATTAAATGCTTTTTAAGTGCCTTCAAGAGTAATTAACAAAATTTAGTTATTTATTATAATTTAGAAGATATCAGCCTCCACTGTAAATTGCAAATGCCTGCTAAATGGTTAAATAGCACTTAAATTTGCCATATATTTATATATTATATATTTTATTTTAATTTGTTGTGATGGGGATGCTAGCTTAAGAAGGGTTATTTCTTCCACGATTGAAAACTAATATCTCGACATAGCGTTGCATGGCTTATACATTATGTGAAACGTGACGAAAGTTTCTAACGCAAAAACTTTCAGCCAGAGATTTAGCCAGAATTTCCTACAAATTGCGACGATATTTTCTATGGGTTTAGATATCATGTTAAAAAAAAAAAAAATCCTTCGAAACGGAATTTCTGGCAAGAGCAATTAATGCTGCTAATTAGCTTCGCAAAAAAAAAAAATTCATACACATGGGTGTGCCACGTAGCCCGTATACTCATCTGTACTTCTGTACCTACTTTGCATGCAAACCCTTATATTTATGGCTAACGGGCTGTCATGTAGCTTTAAAGCGAATGATCCTTACAAAACGCTTCGTCGTAGACAATTATATGTAAGACATATAAAAATTTAAATATGTGATTTTATATTGATATATATAAATTCTTTTTTATAATTATAAAACTTTTTTGTAATGTTAAAAAAGTTTCATATATATATATATATATATATATATATATATATATATATATATATATATATATATATATATATATATATATATATATATATATATATATATATATATATATATATATATATATATATATATATATATATATATATATATATATATATATATATATATATATATATATATATATATATATATATATATATATATATATATATATATATATATATATATATATATATATATATATATATATATATATATATATATATATATATATATATATAATACACTAGTTTATAAATATTATTATAAAGATAATTTTTAAATTATCAACTATCTCTTTGATTAAATCTAAAAACTTGATTAAATCTCTTTAATTAAATTTAAAAACATTTGTCTACGGCGAGCGTGATTTGTTGCGAATTTCTGCATGCGGAAAAGTGCGAAATAAAGACAAAGGAGAAGAAATTTAAAAAAAGAGCGGAAAGGCACAGATTAAAATTCGAGGAGGAGGAGATTGAGAGCAACACGGCATGGCTGAACCATCGCCGTCCCTGGCCCAATGAAGGAAAACAAATCTTGTTATTGTTTTCAGCGAGCGTCACCGGCGGCAGCAATACGCAAAATTGAGCGCGAGAGTAAGAGCTAAAGTTAAAATAACGCAACAACAACAACAACAACAACAAAAAGAAAAGTGAAAGGAGGAGAGGAAACAAAAGAAGAAGGATAAGCGGCGGCGATTGAAGAGGGTGGTTCATGAAGAGGAGGTAGTTTTTGAGACAAAAGGATAGATAGGGTGAATAATGATCTCGTGAAACGGAAATTGTGATGAGCCGTTGACGAGCTCTGCCGAAATTCTTCGCGACGTAATTCGCGTCGAATCGATTATACGCGGAAATCGATCGATCGATCGCCTTGGAATTCATCGCGAGAAAGGAGGGAGGATGACGACGGATGATCAAAAGCAGAGGATGTTAATTCGAGCGGGAACGACGAAGAGAGCCGTTGCGATGAAACTTTCCTGTCCCCCTTTTTAATTTTTTTTTTTTTTTTTTTCGGATCGAACAGGAGAAATCCATATTGAATTGACTCTGTCTCCGTATCTCACATTATAAACAAAGGTTGCGCACGATAATTTACATTTGCACGAAATTCTGTTAGGATTTCCATTATTATCATATTCCACTATTACTACTTCGTATCTGTAGCAATTTCGTTACTATCGCGATTGTTTCGTAAATTATACATCATACACGGGAGATGTTGATTTATCTCTTGAGTTTCGGCAAATGCGAAATTGAATTACGCATCCTTTAAGTAATCTCGGAAATTTTACTCGACGAGAAATATTATCGCAGCGGGACTAGTTCGCGATTAAACGCGGTTGATTGATAAGTCCAAACACGTTCATGGCGCTTTCCTTTATCCATCTTTGTTAATCAAGACTGTCCGAGAAAAATGAAAAGAGATGAAAAATACTAAGAGAAAAAGAGGAGACGATTATTGTGTAAAAAGAAGCGCGAAATGTTTGCGAAGAAGAAAGAAATTATATATGTATATGTATGTATGTATAGAAAGAGAAAAAGAGACAGGGTGTCGGTGAAAACCACCACGTAAAACCTCTCCGGCGAAGGCAGTTGCTGTAGTGCATGTTTGCGCACACATACGAACAAAGCGTTCACGATGTATATCGAGACATTTACTTTATAGACACATATATGTAAATCATATAAACTGTAAATAATATGTCATTTGTCCCTCACGCGCCATTTATCGAATTGTGTATCGGATCAGTGTTTGTGATCAGTCCATTCTGATTATATCGAAGAATATCACACGCGTCCTTTGTTCCTTTATCTTACATCTTGCGCTTTTCGCGAATTACAAACTGATGAAAAGGAACGGTGGAAAGGAGGGAGAGAAAAAACTGCGATAATCACCTGCCTTCGTCGAAGAAGGCGATGAATGTTTTGGAGCACATAATCTGTGTACAGAGAATTTAAAAAATAATAAAGACAAAGATAAGAAGAAAAGATGTGAGTGAGAAGGAGGAATAGAAAAAGAAAATAGATGAAGAGAGAGTGGAAGAGAAAAACGCCTCGATATGGGGTACAAGCAGCTATAGGTAACGTTTTAAGGCTTAAAAAAAAATTATCTACAAGATGTTATGTATACATGTTAATAATAATGATGATAATAATAACGATAACATTAATAATAATAAAATAAACACTAACGATCATCTTGGTGACAATGAGAAGATGATTTTCGTGCTTCGTGGATGCAATAGCTCCACGAAAAAAAAAAGCGAATATTGTTCTCCGATTCGAGGATACTGGGGGTTCAGAAAGCTCCATTATCTTTTTATTGTACATCCGCGAGATAAAACGTACGTTCATGATAATGATATATCATACGCGACACATCGATCGTTCGTCGATGAGCCCGAGATCGTCGTAGATTTATGACTATTTTCCCCGGTCACTTTTTTTCTTCTGATCGGTCTTTTCTAGTTTCGGTGCTGCTGCTGCTGTTGATTCAGCAATAAATCCGAGAGACGAAACGATCATTTTTCCGATCGTAGTCCTCCGCAATTATTCCTCCCTCCGATCCCGTCCCAACGTGCGATGTCTGCAAGTTTCTTGCAGATTCCACCGTGACTTTCGAAACGCGATAAAGTTCACCGGAAGAAAGAGAAGAGCTTTTCATTATGTCGATCGGCAAGATACCGAATCGGTTTTGTTTTCGTTCGCGTCAATGTTTACTTTAGAAAGAGCAAAGATATCGATATTCTCGAAAATACTAACTTTCTGCAATTATAGAATAATCTAATTATCGTTCATATCGTTAGCGTTAATTGGCACAAAAAAATATATATGTATAAAATAAGAGTTATCTCCGTTTCTTTTTTGTTTCCAAATTATTTTAATTAGCGCGGACTTTTGTTATTTAACGTAAATTATGATATCGTTGAAAAGAATCGATGACGGGAATAAAATTGGGGACCACGAGTCGCTAGAGTGTGATACTTTGCTTTGCTGAGCACGTGAGAATCGCATAGAAATTGAGAAAGCAAAGGACCGATCGACGAATGAGAAATTCTTCGAAATTGTCGGGCTAAGTGGCCGCACACAGACGACCCAAGTTATATAATGTTTTAAAAAAATCATTCTATGTTCACGAACTTATAAACACATAGCTGTACGTCATATCTTAACCGTCGACGTATCCCTAATTAATAATGGCGAATGATGCTGCGCTTTGAACATTGTACAGTATCGAATAAAAAATACACTGCGTAGTTGAATTGAAGTTATCAAAGGGTAACGGAGAAGAGAATTAATGATATTTTTTTTTGCTGTTTTTGAACCAAATCATACATCGATCGTGGAATTCTCATACTGTATCTATGATAAGCACACATTAACATTTCTACAAATTACTACTCGACAATAAATAAGTCGGGTGTCTCAGTTTTTTTTTCTTTTATTACGTATCATATCAACGCTGCACGTAAATATAAAGAAGACATTATTTTTTCGAGAGCAAAATTTTCACTCGACCATGGCCAAAAACGCGATTAAAATTTTTAAAGATCAATTAACGGTCGAATATATATTGCATCGCGCCTTCCAGGAAGAAGATCATTAAAGAGCCTAGTGTCTGTTAAATCCAAGCAGGAGGTAAGAATAATAAACTTGCTATTACATGCCGATATGCTCATTTATTTATGGTTTTCCATAAAAATTTGATGTCTTTTTTTAAATTGGTTTTCTTCAATTTATAATTTTTTTAATCTGGCAATTGAATGATTTTATAATACATTCCACGTCCGCGCATTTTTTTTAAATTATTTTCCAGATTATATATATATGTATTTTTCCTCAACTATTAATTTTTTGATAAATGTGTAGTGGACTTTTCTTCATAATTAAAAAATCTCTATTGCGTTCCGAATTTTTAATCTTTTATCGATTTTAATAATACAACAATCCCACAATTTATGATCCACAGTCTAATAGAATCGTATGTACTGAAAAAATCTAAAAAGAATCGTATTTTTTTCTTATGTTTTAATTTCTTATAACTTTTATCTTTCAGAATGTTACTTACGTTCTCTCATAATTTCTCTTCTCTTGTACATGTGATAATTGATGTAGAATATGTGCTTTTACTAATATAATCCATCTCAGTCAATTTACAATTTTTATTATTCCATATCGCCATCAAATCATTGCACTGCGATTGAATATCATTGGGTTAGCAAGATTATATTGTACGTATAAGTTTAGGTTCCCTGTGATCTCGTGTCGAAAATAGAAGACACTTCAGTGTGTATGTGTGTCTGTGCGTGTGTGTCCAATTACCGTCGCTTCGAGATTATTTGATTCGCTATCCATTCGTATAACTGTTCCAATTTATCGTTAGTGTATAAATGGTGCCGAGCGTGTCAAGATTTAAAGTAAAACGCGACAATACCTATACACTATTATCTAACGGAATGAAATTATTTCGAGAGGAAGAGAGAAAGAAGGGGGGGGGAGGAGAGGGAGAAAACGAGAGAGAAAGAGAGAGGAAGAGAAAAAGAAGAAAGAACACTCTGTAATATAAAACACAGCTGTTAAAAAGAAAGAAATGAAGATATCAACACAACTTCTGCGTTCTAGCGTTGTATGTACATCCTGTACATTTTTCATTTGTCCAAATTATATGTTTCTGTGTGTCAAACGTTATAAAAGTATGAGAATAAAAGATACCAAATACGACATTATTTTTATGCCGTAGATAAAAGATAGATCCTGTGTGATTCACAGATACGAACGGTTCTGATAAAAAAATCGAAATTGTTTTGTCGCCAATTCAATTGCAACTTTCCTTATTTCTGTTACAATTATAATTCTTTCACGCTTTGTGTGTGCTTTCCTTTCGTCGAAATTTATGATGAGAACCTTTTTCCTACCAGTGGAAGAATCTTTTAATTCCAAAGTATATGCGCTTTTATTAATACATTAATATATTTCACTGGAATACAACTCTTCTTGCAAATAATGCGACAGTAACGCAAATAATCAATACACCCAGCTTTATTTATTAATATATTAATACGATAGCAACTATACTTATATAGACTAATATATTCATCCGCGGATTGATGCATATGATACATCTCTCAAGAATATAAACAATTTTTTCAGCAATGGAAAGGCTACTTTAGAGAAAAGTAATAGTACCTTGCGTGGAAAGTTTCCAACTTCCCTTCTCTTTTTCCGTTGTCATTTTATGTTATCAATCCCTGATGTCGCTTTATCAATATTAGAGACTAATACTAACGCTTAAACGTTTCAGTGAAATTCATGCCGGAAACGCCGCCGACTTCGCCCTATCCGCAGCCAGGTATGATTCCGGCCAATATGCAACCTGTGGCTAATATACCCGTTGCACCCGCACCGGATGCTGCGGCAAAGCCGCCGGGTAACGGCTCACCGAAGGCTGCCAGCGCCGCGTTCCTCGGCAACCTGGACGCCGGTATACACAGTGTTGCGTAAACGATACATTTGGACGGAGAAAAATAGGAGTGATTAAAAGAGCGCTGAGAGATAGGGATCGACCTTGACGCAACGTCTTCATCCACGGAGATAACTCGTCGACGTATTTGCTTCGAAGATCAATTAATTCGGATTGTCATTGGCACATGATGTGAAGGGTTCGGCGGAAAAAGTCGGTAACTTTATAATTTATTCAGATTTGTTCCTTTGTTTCAGATTTATTCAGAAAGTTGTTTGAAATTGGTCTTAAAATGCAGGCTTGTATTTTGTTCTTTTTCCTTCGGAACCCTTCAACCATCGGCCGCGATTATTTTAACGTTGAATTATTTTTCCCCCTATCGATGATGAGATGTTTAATAATTTCAATATTTTATTAACAATTATATTGTATAGCACGTAACTTTCTTCGAATATGTACATGTAGTATTTAGGTGCAAATGGTTTTCACATGTTTTTACTTGATTATATTGTATTTTATTGATTTCGTGATTTTTAGTCTTTAGGTTATTTAAATGAACACGACGTATCGATCGGTCTTTTGAAAAGAAAAGAAATATTTTAGATTCTAGAGTCTGGACTATTAAAAAATCCGCCGAAATTTTATGTTAGATAAAAATGGACAGAAGGCCTTTTGAATCCCATTCCGATCAGCTGATCGCTATGAAAAACAGGCAACGGGCGAAGTTGACGAGATCATTGACGAGAAAATACACAAATACGTGTATCGACGTATATACATGTACATATACATACATTATTACGAATGGTCAATGTAAAATTAAATATATATGTACGCGTATAAATAAATATAATAAATTATTCGTATATTAAATATCGAAGTTTAAAATGTGGAGGTAATATAACAGAGAAAATCATAGATAATAATTATGAAAAAATTGATACAAGTTTGAATTCACTATTCGAATTCAACCTTGACCGAGAAAAATGTGAAAATGTCGAATGTACGTCATGTACACTTGAATGTACGTGAGTGTTCCATACATACAAGTGATTTGTTGCTTGCCTGTGCATTCACGAAATATTGTCTCGGATAATATGATTTTTAAAATATGTATGGAACGCAGATTTATTTCACTCCTTTTTGCGTCAAGTTCGTCAAATTTTACTAGTCTCCATTCGCGATTGATATAATTACGTAATGCGGTTTTATGTATCAATCGCTTTGATTACGAAAATTATATTCGATGCGTTATCGAAAACGCGAGTGACTCTCTAAACACTCCTTTGCACAGTTTAATTGCTATTAATATTACTTTATATATTATATTCGAGATAAGTATTTTATTTTCTATATAAGAAATATAACTGTTACTTTCGAAAAGTGTAAGTATCACCTAAAGACAATTCATATAGATTTGTAGGAAAATTTGCTCCTTTAAACTGACAAAAATATTAGCTTATAAATGTATTATAGTATCGAATAAGTAATCGAATTATAGAAAGAAAAAAAATAATTATTGACTCCCGCATATTTTCAAGCATTAATGTGATGATCGATAATAACTTCGTGCGATAATTAAATTTAAAGTTGAAGTCTCTGAAAATATTAACGTGTAATTCAGCAATGTTATTCAAATGAAAAAGGAGAAGAGAGAGACCTTTTTCTGCATTAAATAATTGGCATGTAGTTATTATTTTTTTATTACAATGTTCATATGCACATCATCGTCGTACTGCTTTTGCCTAATTGTAAGTAAAATTTTCGGTCGATAACGCGCCCTAACAAAAATATAAAAAATAAATTGGTCATTAAAAAAAAATTTAATGTATTGATCGTGTCCTCTATTAAATGGAATACTATGTTGCTATTTTCACTCAATAATCATAATAGATTCGATATAAGCTGTCTATACACTAAAATAATTATAAAGAACTAAATGATAGATTTGTAAGTATAGCCACTGTAGGAAAATGATTTAACACTTATTGTTAGCCTGTTGATATATTATTGTGTACGAATAACAGAATTATATTAATTGCAATATTTCTTGTACTATATATCTCACTAAAAAGAGCGACAGATTATTATTATATAATAGAAATATTATTCAACATAGAAATATATATATGTATATATATTTATATATATACACATATATACATAATATATTATTGCATATTAGGCTTAAATAAATAATGTTGTGAAAAAGAATCCTATGTGCTCTCTTTTTTTTTGTCTCATAAAGAGAAAATTTATTACACATACATACATGCGTGTTATTATATATGTATGTATTATATATAATTATATTTCCTCATAAAATAATAATCGATTATGAGAGAATACCACAGTTTTCCTTTTTTTATTTTTAATACTACTATTACGTTATTTTTATTACACCGAATAGAAAGCAATTATTTTCATGTAATACAAATACTTTTGTAACAGTTTGCATTTTGTTACGTATCAATTTCGGAATCGAATATACACATACACGCACCAGAGGCACGCACGCACGTGACAGTCCTAGCGTAAACGATTGTGGCGCCATATCATTCCGTAGTCAGTTCTTTAACTACTGGTTCTTTCATTCTTCAACCGTACGCGACATGGCTCCGGTAAGTTCTCGCTCTCGCGAAGATACAACGATTATTCATAATTATGACCGAATTCCCTCGAAATAATATCGGAGATAAAAAGAGCGTATTCAACTTGTCAATCGATTTACGTCGGATTTTCGTTTTATCCTGAGATTGATTTGATCGAGTCAGATTTTTATACCGTCCACGTTGGATAATTTTACACGTGTTTTGTGCAACAATGATAGTTGTCAAAAGGATTTTATCTACGAATTTTCAGACAGCGAAGAAAGCCAAAGGCCCGGCTAAGAAGCAGGTCCTTCGGGGCAAGGGACAGAAGAAAAAGGTGTCCCTGAAGTTCACGATTGACTGTACTCATCCCGTGGAGGATAATATTATGGATGTTGGCAATTTCGTAAGTTATATGGAATTATCGTATAACTATCGTAATAGTTTCCTTTTCCCAAAACGAAATTTCTATATTCGACATGTTTATTTAATATATTAATAATACATAACCTATATTTTGTGAATTGCTAACCTCTCTGTATTTAGAAAGCTTCAAGCTGTCTTGGATATAATATCTGCTTAAGTCTTAGCATTATATCGCGTTATTAAACTTAAAATCGTTGTAATGATTTTCAGGAAAAGTATTTACAAGAAAAGATTAAAGTTGGTGGTAAGACCAACAACTTTGGCAATAGCGTCATGCTGGAGCGTAATAAGATGAAGCTCAGCATCAACAGTGATGTTGATTTCTCCAAGCGGTGAGTAATGTCGTGCTTCATTATGATTAGATTGATTGTAAAAAAAATGCAGATTTTTATAGATATTAAATAAAACTAGGGGTAACTCCTTAGTTATTATAAGCTACAGGAAGAGCGATATTTGCACTGATGTAGAAAACTCTGTCGTTATAGGTATCTCAAATATTTGACAAAGAAATATTTGAAGAAAAACAAGTTGCGTGATTGGTTACGAGTGGTCTCGAAAGATAAAGAGACATATGAATTGCGGTACTTCCAGATCAATAGCCAGGAAGACGATGATGAAGAGGATGCTGAGTAATTCTTTTTTAATTCTTTCCAAATTCAATTACAGATGTATCTGTATATATTTCTTTTAATAAAAAAATGATAATACCTATCATTCGTATTATCTAAATATCGAATGGTGATTGATAGAAAATACCCGTAATTTTTTTTTTATATATTGAATTATTACATATTGTGTAATTTGGACATATATATTATACCTTAATCAATATTTAACTTAATTCTTGAACTAGCATTCTAGTTGTGAATTGACGCTATTGCATAACAATCTATCGATTATGGATATTCAAAGCTGAGAGAAGAAATGATATTACACTAAATTTTTAGAATTAGTTAGTGAAAAAATATTGATAAATTTTTGAGTAAAATGCATAGGTCTCAAAAAATATTTTAGCATGCCATGAATCTGCTCTAACCTCTAACTATACTCCTGTTATCATATATACTTCTTGGCTAACAATTTTCTATTTTAGCCGATGAGAGGGCGTTAGTGCATAGCAAACTTTTTTTGTCCAATAAAATTCGCGGGATATCCGTTTATCTACTTCTCAATATTAGAGAAAAGAAAAGTATAATCGATACAGTTAATTGCAGAATATGCATACCTGACGATGATTAAGCACTAATTATGCATCTTTGGCAGGCGGAAAATTCGTGAAATATGTAATGACGATCTCGAGCGGGTAAATGTCGTCGACTAGCCGAGTCGTCGAGTCCGAAATTACAAATATATGTATAATGTCGATTAGGCATAAATTAATATGTTATCTCAAATATTTGACAAAGAAATATTTGAAGAAAAACAAGTTGCGTGATTGGTTACGAGTGGTCTCGAAAGATAAAGAGACATATGAATTGCGGTACTTCCAGATCAATAGCCAGGAAGACGATGATGAAGAGGATGCTGAGTAATTCTTTTTTAATTCTTTCCAAATTCAATTACAGATGTATCTGTATATATTTCTTTTAATAAAAAAATGATAATACCTATCATTCGTATTATCTAAATATCGAATGGTGATTGATAGAAAATACCCGTAATTTTTTTTTTATATATTGAATTATTACATATTGTGTAATTTGGACATATATATTATACCTTAATCAATATTTAACTTAATTCTTGAACTAGCATTTTAGTTGTGAATTGACGCTATTGCATAACAATCTATCGATTATGGATATTCAAAGCTGAGAGAAGAAATGATATTACACTAAATTTTTAGAATTAGTTAGTGAAAAAATATTGATAAATTTTTGAGTAAAATGCATAGGTCTCAAAAAATATTTTAGCATGCCATGAATCTGCTCTAACCTCTAACTATACTCCTGTTATCATATATACTTCTTGGCTAACAATTTTCTATTTTAGCCGATGAGAGGGCGTTAGTGCATAGCAAACTTTTTTTGTCCAATAAAATTCGCGGGATATCCGTTTATCTACTTCTCAATATTAGAGAAAAGAAAAGTATAATCGATACAGTTAATTGCAGAATATGCATACCTGACGATGATTAAGCACTAATTATGCATCTTTGGCAGGCGGAAAATTCGTGAAATATGTAATGACGATCTCGAGCGGGTAAATGTCGTCGACTGGCCGAGTCCGAAATTACAAATATATGTATAATGTCGATTAGGCATAAATTAATATGTTCGATTTATGTTCCAACGCACACACTTTACACTCACAATAATCTTTCGCGCACAAAATTTACTTTTAGACATCACACTCACGAAGACTTCGTTTGAACATACGGAGCGATTCGAATGCAGTCGCGACGAGTTTCTCACTGACCGTTGGAGGACTTTCGAGAATCGCAATTTCGCTATCGATACTATCGAACTATTCGTTCCTAGAGTATCGAATCTCGAAGTGTATGCGCGGTGACATTCTCACCTTTCCGCGCAATTCATCTTCCCGTCGTACGTTCGTATTTTTTGACTCATTGTTTCTTACCCGATACTCGAATGATAGAACGAACGACGCACGAGGAATTTTTTCAAGCTACGCGAATCTTAATAAGACCAGCCGTCTCCGATATAATCTCGTCGCGTTAGAACGAACGGGGGATCTATTTTCTCGCGGCGGAGGGCGCTTACGTAGCGCAATCGCGGCGACACACGGTTATTGTTGTGACAGAAGTGTATTGCGGAATTTGTGTGTTCCCCGAAAGACTCCCGAGCGTCGTCGCCGCCGCTTTCGTCGAGTCAGCGCAATTGTCGGGAAGAGAGCGTGCGAAAAACAAGATCGAGGGCGAGTGAGCATCGTTGTGTCGCGATCCCCACGCGTAAACGGGGACGATGAAGTTCCAATACAAGGAGGAGCACCCGTTCGAGAAGAGGAAGGCCGAGGGCGAGAAGATACGACGGAAATATCCGGATCGAGTGCCTGTGAGTACAAAAGGGCCGCTTTCTTTTGTGTCACGATGGGCGACGAAAATCGACTACAGGAAGCGGGCATCTCGACGCGTTGCATTATTTCGAAAATTCGAGAACGAATAAGCGACACGTCAGTCGAACGATCTCGGACGATCCAATCGTATTTTCCTGACCCGGAGGGAGTCCAAGGTCGCGTTTATTCTGCGTCATATCTGCCCATATTTCGTCGACGATGCATCACATTTCGGGATTCGAAAATTATTTTTTATTTACGCCGCGAAATTACACGATTCATGCTATCTCGCGTTCCCTTTTCGTGCATCCTCCCCTCCACGCGTATTGATCTGTTTTACGTATGTATGTAATCGAGGTTTTTTTCAAGCCTCACTCCAAATATGCGCTGTTACCTGAGCTGCGAGACTGTTTACCTTTATTTAATCTGTTTATTTCCATTTTAATCGGATGAGATCATTCATTTTCTCGCTGTACGCATATTATACGCCCGTCTGAATATACTTCTAATTTCATTTTAGAATAGATTTTAGAGTACTTTGAAAAAGAGAGAAGCATTATAGACCTTTGTTTCTCCTTGACAAAAAGATGATCTTCTACACCTTGCTGTTAGATGAGGCTAAAATCTTCCTCTCAGATTTATAGGCGCGTAGAACGTCTATCTTTATTAAACATCATTTTTCCATTAGTTTTATGCTTATTTGTTACTCTTAAAATCGCGCAACCACACAACGTGACCAAGTATTTTTTTTTTTTTTTTACGTAGTACGAGTGTCGTGATTTTTATTTCGAAATTTAAACTGCATATAATTTAATATCGCTTTTTTATAATAAATTTCAATCTTTAGTTTCTAGCAAATAAATTAAGAAATTAAAAATCGATTATATTTTTTAATATTCACAAATCGAATTGTATATTTTTATTGCTTGATACGTATTTTATGGAACAAAAGTCTTTTGTTTGTTAATCTTTTCGTAACTATTTATAATACTTTGTCTCCACAGAATCGTTTACAAATTAATTCATGACAAAGTATGTGTTTTCCAACCAACCCTAAAAATCTAACCTCTTTCTTTTTCTTTCTCTCTCTTTCTCACTCGCGATCGCAATCATATGGTAAAGAAAAAAGATTACATGTGTGCTTATCGCTCGTGTAAATGAATCATCGATCACAACAGTTTTACAAAAGTATCATTACGCCAATTTTTATTGTTTCGCGAAATACGCATATTTATCAAGGTCAATGTTACAGGACTCAAACCTGGATCTTGTTATTTAATAGTTGGACAAGATTCAATCATATGATGTTAAATGCATATTTGAAACTTGTCTATGATCCAGGCAACGAGCCAGAAATTAAATCTACTTAAAAATGTTGTTAGCGAAGATTAAAGTTCAATTTGTCGGGTAAATGACAACTTTAATGAAAATAGATTTATGGAAATTGATTTGTTTGATGCGATAGTTAATGATAGAAGGCTAATAAATATATTTTTCTATAATATCGTCAATACACAGTCAATATATAGTCTATACATCTTTCTTTATTTAAAAAATATTTGAGAGACGTAAACAAATAATAAAATAAATGTTAATGTTGTTGAAGGTAATAGTTGAGAAGGCGCCTAAAGCAAAAATTAGCGATTTGGACAAGCAGAAGTATTTGGTACCTTCTGACTTAACAGTCGGCCAATTTTACTTTTTAATTCGTAAGAGAATCCATTTACGTCCGGAAGACGCTCTGTTCTTCTTTGTCAACAACATCATTCCACCAACAAGTGCTACCATGGGCTCTCTTTATGCGGTAACTATAATGAACATTATATATACAATGTGTATCGAATAAGATATATTGATTTTAATTGTTGATTACCTGTACTAATCTTATCCAAATCTTTTTAATCAGGAACATCACGAAGAGGATTTTTTCCTATACATAGCATACAGCGATGAGAATGTGTATGGTCATTAAACTTCCTGGGATGAGCAAATCGTCAAACCGACAAAGGATTCAGCAACCAAAATCTACCATCTATCAATGTAGTCCTCATAGATGCTTTTGAAAACTGAGCATACAAAATTACATTTATCAATACTTTGCGTGACATTTTATGTCTTGACACTGCACATTTGCTTCCTCCAAAGAACTACATAACTCTCTTGTGATGATAAGGATGCTTCTTGTCGGTTACATTCTACCATCTCTAAAAGGGCTTAGTTCATTGTATAATTTAAGGACAACTAATCTGTGCAGAATTATGTGATCATGTATAATGTCTAGCCTAGCCATAAAAAAAAAAAAATTACAAAAGTCTTTGTATTGTCGATTACCATTACTACTTGCTGTCACATATTGTGTTTTATTGCACATTAATCATAATGTTCTCTGAAATAATAGTAGATATCATAACATTATAAATTTAAAGTATGATATAGGATTCTATACGTGATATTATTTTCATCAATTTAGATTAATATTATTGTATTGTACATCATTTTAATGTTATTTGATCTTGGGGAAGGACGAAGAGAACTTGTTAGATATGCAGGTGAGAAGAAAAATTTTCTGTAACAGCTGGGAGATGTAAGGCCAATAAAAGAAATTAAAACGCGATGAAAATGCCCAAATATTTTTTTCTATTTTCTCATTAAATTTTTTTTTTAAATCTAATATACCAATATCTTCCTTTTAATAGACTCGCTTGAACAGTTGCTGACAGAAGTGACGTTCCTTTCAATATACCAATATCAGACTTGTTTTGCCCGAACACTCTGAATTTTTAACTTGTTTGTCCCCCGAACACGCTTCGCGCTCAATGTATATCTGAAGAACGAAGACATCACAGTAGTCAACTTTCTTCTAGCAACGAAGAAACAGTTTAAATATCATGGAAATGGCAAGTGATGAAAAAAACAATACAAATGTTACTGTTGATAGATATATTAGCCAATTATATAATCTTAGTCAAGAAGATAGCAATTGGATCGTCACGAGTTCTTTTATGATTTTTACAATGCAAACAGGTATTGTGAAAATAAGCAAGTTAAAAAAAATTAATCTTTTCCTTTTAATTGATTAAAATGTATAAATTGTCCTTTATAATCGTCTTTATCGCATATTTATTATTATGTGTATAGATATTATAATTTTACATGCAAACTTTTGTAGGATTCGGAATGCTAGAATCCGGTTGCGTTTCTTTGAAAAATGAGGTCAATATTATGATGAAGAATGTAGTCGATATAGTCCTTGGTGGTCTAACTTATTGGATTTTCGGATTTGGATTCAGTTTTGGATTATACGAGCCCAACAACCCTTTTATCGGTATCGGAGGTCTATTCATAGATCCTCCTATCGATGATGAATATATGGGTTCCATTTGTGCCGCGTTTTTATTTCAATTAAGCTTTGCCACCACTTCCACAACCATCGTTAGCGGTGCTATGGCTGAACGGTATTTATTCCATAAATCTCGAAAACAATAATTGTAATATATAAATCTTAAATTTTGCATTTTATATTTGTGTACATTTGACATTTTTAGATGTAATTTTAAAGCGTATTGTGTCTTCTCGTTTCTAAACACTATTGTGTATTGTATGCCAGCCGGATGGGTATGGGGCGATCACGGCTTTCTAAATAACATGGGAGTTGTCGATATTGCTGGTTCAGGGCCGGTACATCTTGTCGGCGGTATTTCAGGTATAATCACAATGGCAAATATGTATACTCAATCAAATTTTGATGTTAAAGTGATAAGTTTCAATAGATGATAAATATATCAATCTATCTATCTATTTGCTTTCATGCAGCACTTGCTTGCGCTATCATGCTCGGTCCTAGAATAGGCAGATATGACAACGGCATCGATCCTCTGCCCCTTGGATGCCCCGTTAATGCGATCATGGGACTATTCGTATTATGGTAAAACAACAGCAGATTACCGCGTCGAGAAAAAGCGTAATAAATCGCAAAATACATAACAAGTATGCAAATCACGTAGGTGGGGTTGGTTAGCGTTTAACAGTGGTAGTACATACGGGGTAACCGGCGCACGATGGCAGTATGCCGCTCGAGCAGCCGTTTCTACAATGATGGGCAGTATGGGTGGTGGTCTGATCGGTTTAGGATTCAGCTTGACTAATCCGAATGGGATCGATATCCTTAGTCAGATAAATGGTATTCTCGGCGCACTAGTGGCAATTACCGGTAACATATTTGATCGATATAGAAATAATAAAAAAGATCAAATCGAATCGATTTTTAATTATAACGTTACGTCAGGTGGATGTTTTTTGTACAAAGCCTGGGAAGCAATGATAGTTGGGATGATAGGTGCTTTTATCACATGTGTTGCAATGCCAGCATTAGATAAAATTCGCATAGATGATCCTGTTGGAGCTGCCGCCACTCATGGTGTGTAATTCCATCTTTTGAACTTTTATAATCTCAAAATAAACTTTTATATTTATCACGATATAATAAAAATATTTGCATCTGTTTAATATATAGGTGCAAGTGGTATCTGGGGAGTTATCGCTATCGGCTTATTTGCTGATAATCCATATCCCCTAGATACCACAAGTGGAAGGAAGGGTTTATTCAAAGGTATTTTGCATGCAATGATGATTTTATATATCTTTTGTTCCAAATTATCATTTACCTTATAGTATATAAATTTTTGTAGGAGGCGGATGGTATCTATTAGGAATACAAAGTTTATCTGCGCTTTGCTTAACAGTTTGGAGTTTTGTTACCTCTATTCTACTGCTCTGGGTATATCAAAGATTTCATAACTTAAAAAAAAAATATTAGATATAAGATTAAGATACTTTTTTTCTTGCAGGTGATAGACAAGGTAATACCGATTAGAATGTCGGTTTATGAAGAAGTTCTTGGAGCAGATCTTGTAGAGCATAGAATACGTCATTCAAAGGTACAAATTTCATTAAAACTTTAATTTCTGTTGTCTATATTTTAATCTCATAATTTTTTAAATTTGTATTTTTGTATAAGCCATCTAACTTATGCGAAATATGTTTGTGCAGATAGGTGTGAGTCGCGCCATGTCGGCGCTTCGGCCATTTACTATGGAAAAGAAATTGAAGAACGTACATCCTGTGGGCATTAATCCTGGTAAGGCAAAATTATCTCTAAAACCTATATCGAAATGCTATGTAGTAATATTACTCATTTCTTTGATACAGGCCATGATTCGTTTCTTGCTCAGCATAAGAGCAAAAAATTTAAGAATTTTACAAATTCTAAAAAACAACATCCGCCGAAAAAATTGACGACGAAAAATTCTAAAATCAGAACGATCGCAGACTCTGCGATATCTACGGAGGCAAAGCCGCACTTTGCTTGGGTGGATTAAGATATAAAAAGAGAGAACTCGTACAATAAGAGATTTATATCGATACTTCATCGGATGTAAATTTATTACAAATGTATAAACATATACACGTGCACTAACTTTCTAATTTCGTCGCACATTCCCTAATAATCCGAAAAATGTATGTGCGGAAGACACATATTTTTTAATAAATATTTTTAAATTCTTACGCATTCACACGCAAATAAATATTGATCGTGCACATACACACGCACGCACATATGATACAAAGATAAATGGACATGTGAAACTAATCACAAACAAACTGAATTTTAACATGTAGCCTATGGCACGGATATCTTTTCAGTTGAATAACTTTAATTAATCATCCATGATATTAATTATCATCCCTGGTAAGATAATATCTATAATCATCATTATATTCTTGATATTTATATTAATGCTCATTACAGGAAATAAAATATTTCCATAAATATTTGTGTCTTCATAATTTCATATATTGAAGACGTTACACATCAGATTACTCTACTTCGTTTATATATTGGCAGGAATTGTCACTGAAGACCACATTCAGTATATATTCACAAAATACCATTCCTTTTTTCTTTTCAGATATTGTACTGGCACATGTTAAAGATATTTACAATTTTATTATGTTTATATATAATATTCTTAATTTTTTGTTCCAAGTAATACTTCAAAATTTTCTAGATCGATTTTTAAAAATTTGATACTAAACATATATGTATGAATGGAAGGATTTGTGAATATTCTGGAAGTGTTAGACTAGAATATCACACCTTTTTCAGATTTACATAATGTATAAATAAAATTCCGCGTATTTTACTAATTTTTTTCATAAAATATCGTTTCATTTTTATAGCAATTATTATTTAAAAGTGATTCAATAATTACGTTCATATATAAAAAATGTGTGTCTAAAAAATTAACTATTGTTTTCTATACTCTATTGTTACTCCATGTATGTGTAGTGTGTGGTATACTATCTATATAAGTGCGATATAAAATATTATAATATCTAAACTTGTTCTACAAAGTTCTACTTTGCTAAAGAAGAAGACTTACCAATTACATGTAATATGTGTAATTTTATGGAACACAATAGGTTCAGTATATATAATAACTTGCCACTATATCATTATTATATACTGCTTAATGCCCACTGGGAAACTTCTGTAGGGAGGCCTGGATAATTTTTCACAGCGTCCATAACTTGTTGCGATGTTAATGTAAATTTGTAATACTGATATTCCTTTTCAAATTTTGTATTCGTGTTTCCAACTGGTACCAAGATTTCTAAGTTCTAGAAAATATATGTATGTTTATCCAGCTTCTTTTCAAGTATTTAATAGGAAAAGAATGATTTTAATATGGTAATATCTTACCTTGATATGCTCGAAAGCTTTCATGATAACTGGTTTCTGGACAGACTGTATAGAGGAATTCTGATTCGTAAACTTAATATAGCGATTATAAACCGCCTCGAAATTTAAGGGCTCACCATCATATATTTCTGTCTCGTGTTTCATTGCTATGACCTATAATAAAAAACATTGCGACTAAAGTATTTCTCTTTTATTATAAATAAATTAATTTCACAGGAAATAATTGTAAGGAACGTACTAAACACATTTCCAAAATGGATAATCCCTCAAGCATCAACAATTTATCATCCTCTGAAAAGATTTTACTCGCTTCCACAAAATCATTCACTTCCAATTTCTGATGCTTCTCGGATAATGTCGAAACGGCGACTGCGAGAAAATTTCTAAAGCTTCTCTCACTTACATCGATATGATACATTCTCTTGAGTAAGTTTACCATGGTAACATTGCTAGTTAAACTCTTAATATAGTCATTCCACATAGAACCAAATTGTGGATCTATTGTACAATCATCATACTGTTGCTCAACTTTATTTACGTTCTCATCATCAGGTAAACTGAGAAGATTTTGAAAGAGTTCCAGACGATCATCAAACGCGGACATAGGCTGTTCCGAGGATGACGTATCACCAGGAAACAAGAATATTTGGCGATGTGAAAATCTCGACTTGACACGCTTCTCCAATAACTCCACAACATCTAATCTACAAGTTATTCCTAATACACATATTGGCACCTGCAAAATTAAAGTTTTTCATTCATATTAGATTTTTACAGAAAATCTTTTTTAATTAATTTTTTAATACATTTGAATATTTACCTGTGCAGATTGAGCAACATCAAATAGATTATACAATAATGTTTGATTGTGATGTCCACAGAACAGATCAAACTCATCAAGTATAAAGATGATTGGTTTTGAACGTTTCTTATCACCAGATTTCAGGCAATCTAGGAGAAAACTTAAATTTTCTGCAAATGTGCCAAAAACTTTATCACCAACTACATTTTCCAATTGCATCTGACGAGTTAGATCTTTTAGTGCTAAACGATCATCAGTATGAACTAGCCCATGAAGATTCACTATTAACGCATTATCTTTAAAGCTTTTTAAAGCTGACAATTCCTTTAAAACACTATTGATAAGCTGAAATTATATGAAAGTTGTTATATATTAATTATACATTTATGGTGTCATATATTAATATATACATATATTTCTTTTTACATGGATTTGTAAAAGATAACTATACCGTCGTTTTTCCACTGCCTCTGGGTCCAACTAACAAAGCAGAATTGCTTTCACCCATTTCAACAGTACGTTTCACTAAATCGAACACATGTAATCGTTCTTTAACATGATGTCTAAATTTGGTTTCAGGGCACATTATTCTACGCTTTAAGTATTTTCGCGTCAGCAATATCATATTGTCTTGAAAGTCAATTGCCATATTTTTCTTCTTACTCATTGTTTTTCTCAAATTCAAACTATTTAAAAGAAATGGAAGACCTGTAATTAATGAAGTTTATCGAGATTTTAAAAATACCAATATTCTCCAGATGCGCTTAACGCAAATTGATAAATTTCTGCAAAAAATTTTTTATTTTTTCAAATAATCAATAATCCAACATCAGTATGTCATTATTTTATTATTGTAGATATATTGCAATTATATTGACATATAAATGAAATTATCACAATTAATTGTACTTTACCTTTAGGGTTTAGGATACAATGTTTATAAATATAACATGTATTCGGGAAGTGCGTCAAAAGACATAACCCAATCCCTTACGAGCGAAGTTCAACGACTCCAGAAACGTATTTTTTTTGTGTAAACTTGCACGAATTTTTGGAGCTAAGTTTTTTTCAATCGATTACGACGTCGCGATGTCACTATATTTTTAATGCAGATAATAACACTGTACGAGTAGCAAAAAAATTAATACGGTCGGACGTCGAACGTTGGAAGGAAATATTTACCAAACAAACATGGATGATGCAGTGGAACCGCCGGAGAAGAAGAACTGCACCTTTTTATTTAAAAAACGTAAAATTCGTAGTAACGCTACGAGAAGGCGAAAAGAAGCGAATGGCGGTGATGGTGAGTCGTTGTAATAAATAATCGATTTCGATGTAGACTAATTATAGATATCGCATATCCATTGGACAAATTTGGTTAAACGAAGAATTTTAGGTTATGTCTAAATAAATATTGTAAATAAATGTTTGTATCACTTTTTACATAGACAGCAGTGAGGATGAGACTACGGTGATTAAGAAGGAGAAGAAGCAAAACGATCATAATCCTTTGATACAAAGTGTGAGTATTTTGCAATGTGACGAAATACTATATACGTATGATGTATAATCTTTTATCTCTCTCTCTTAAATTATACCATTACGATATGTAGTTATTGAATTTTAAATAAATCTAGAATATGTGACGTTTTATAAGTCTGATACAGCTTGATCACAATCTTTGTTTCTTTAGACAAATGTAAAGAAGCAAGAAGAAAGGACCAATTACAATGATGATGGTGACGACGATAATATAACTGTCTCGTATAAAAGTAATAGAACCGCTTTGCTAGCTGGCCCGAGTGATCAAGGAGCAACAGCTATTCTTCAGACAGAAACGGAGAAAGACAGAGATGCACAGGCATTATTTGAAAAAGCCCAAAAAATAAATGAGGTATTTTGAACAAATTATATTTATCAGATATTTTCATTAAATTTAAAATTGACTTATCTGAAAAGATCAAATTAATAATGTTGTTTTCATTTCAATTATTAGGAATTAGAAGGAAAAGAGGATGATAAAATTTATAGAGGCTTGAACAATTATGCACAATATTATAAAAAGAAAGATACTGCAGCTGGAAATGCATCCAGTGGAATGGTACGTAAAGGACCAATTAGAGCCCCATCTAATCTTAGAGCAACAGTGAGATGGGACTATCAACCTGACATATGCAAAGATTACAAAGAAACTGGTTTCTGTGGTTTTGGAGGTATGTATGATTATAATTTATTTTACTACTAGATAGATATTATAGTTTACTTTATAGTAGTTTTTTTAAAACAGATATTATAGTAAAAATTTTCTTTTAAATTTGATTTTAGATAGTTGTAAGTTTCTTCACGATCGATCAGATTACAAATTGGGATGGCAATTGGAAAGAGGAGCTGCTACTGGAGAATGTGATAATAGTGGGGATGAAGATGATAAAAAGTATGAGATTGAGAGCGATGAGGACAACTTGCCATTTAAATGCTTTATTTGCAGAAACAGTTTTACAGATCCAGTTGTTACAAAGTATGTATTATTAAATTATTATTATTCAATACTGCTGCTATATTAATACTTTAATACTTAAAAAGGATTAATCTATTTGTTTTGTTTTAGGTGCAAGCATTACTTTTGTGAAAAATGTGCTTTGGAACAGTATAAGAAAAGTACACGATGCTATGTCTGTAATACTCAAACTAATGGCACTTTCAATCCTGCAAAAGAAATCAATGCACGAACTAAAATGGAGGAGAAGGAAAGAATAACTGCAGCAAACGAAGACTCTGATGAAGGTTAATTAAAGTAAAATAATCTCTATCTCCAAATGTACAATTTTGTAACGACAAATGTACAATACGAATGGAATGACAATTTTTAGGAATTGTAAGTATTAACATAAATTGTTTTGGTATATGTTGTTGACAACATATACCAAAGTTTATTATACTTTTGGAATATTTAATGGCGAGTAAACAATCCTTCTCGGATAACTTTCCAATTTTTTTCTTAGTGCTTATTCTTTAAACAATAAAGATACTTTTCGAAAATGTATCAAGTTTGTTATGAATATTATGACCTAATAAAGATATGTACATGTATATACTTTATGATAATATGTAATGCCTATATAACAAGAGGAAATTATAATTATTCAATCACAGAATTCATTATGTATTCCCATATATACAGAACTGTGCACACATATACTTACAGAGTTTTCATTGTCAGATATACATGATTCATAAAAATATATCAATAGGAATATATAAAATTTATAAAATACAATTTATATTTTCTCAAGGCACATTACAAAAAAAAATATAATTCAGAAATACCACTATTATCAAATGTGAAATTTTAAAATATGCATCTTAATATTTTTAATTGCATAAAATATGATAGATATATATATGTATTTTTGCAATATACGCCTCTTTGTCCGGAATTAGTCTCTTCGAGTTTAGAAGCTGTTCCACTAATAATTATCGGGCTAATGATTCGCAGGGGGAACCCTGTTCGGGGCAAAGGCGCTACGTGTTGGGGCATCGCGACGCGAATCGATACACGGCGCAGGCGGCGTGTCGACGGCAGTGTATATGCACAGCGGCAGTGTTGTTTCCCTCGTACCGTGAAAATGTCACGGTTGCTTTTCATGGACCAGGACCGAGCTCCGGTGTTCCCGCCTTGCTCGCAGCGGGCGATCGCGATATAGGAATTGCGTGAGACAAACCCGACAGTAGCAATCTCGCAATCTCATTCGCAAAGACGCATCGCGACCGATCATCGCGTTTCGCGGCGAAATCACCTACTTCGCCAAGAATCGATCTTCGACGAAAGGACACGGCGCGCAAAAGAACGCAAACTCTCGTGGTGTAATCCTGGACTGCGCCGCATATTCCGACGAAGCGAGAAGCGTTGTTATTCGCCGAAAGTTTACGTCTATTACGTCTATATTTATAACGAAAAGATTTGCACATTCGAGTGTGACGGTAATTCGCTTGGCGAAAGATTTAACGCACCTCGTTGAGGTAGGTCTTGGCGTCGCGACGACCAAGGGAGAGAGAAAGAGAGATGGAAACGTTCTATTGAAAAATATCAAATATATCAACTTGATTAGAAGAGATAATGACGTGATTTTGAGATATCGTGATGTTCATTATTAATATATACTCTCCGTATCTGTGTATGTTATCCGTATGTAAATATTCAAATTAAATCCTGACGTTAATCTCTTCACGAAATCGCTAGTCGTCGGTATTGTTGATCAACGGATTATCCGTACGTCTGTCTATCCTCGTACGGAATCGCCGTACGATATTGTTACGTAAATTTATTCGCGCGTTCGATTATATTCACACTCTTGTGCTGTTGCTGACGTATGTCGCATGTAAGGACGCGAGGGTGACTTTGTGACGAGTGATCGACTGCAGCTGTTGGCGAAGAAGTGCATCTCAGGATGCTGAATAAAACAGTAGCCTTTTGCAGAGAATAATCTCATCCTAGAGTCAAAGTGCTCAAAGTGCTGAAAATTATCGTTGCCGCATTGATTAGCTTTCCATCGATAGCCCGCCGATCCACGAAAATTAATCGACACATCCAACCGATTTTCTTTATCCCGATGCGAGAAATCTGCAAACAGAAAAACGGCATTATCATTGGGAAGGTGCGGTATTTCACGGCGACTCCCTATCAACCAGGTGGGTGATTTACGCGCGGCGTGATAAGGATGCCGATATGTGTGTGTGTGATAATAAGCGACTCTAATAATATCAATCTCGTACGATCTTGTGAATGCATCATCTGTTCCTCTAATAATCAGTTATGTTTCCTGCATTTTTCACAATATTTTCTCTTTCTATCTTCGATATCTAAATAGCGTGTGAAAAGATAAGCCAGCGACGCGATAAGAATAAGATTAACAAAAAGAGAATATAATGAATGGATATATGAAGTTATGAAATACTTGAAACAAGTAATATTTACTTGTATATAGTATGTATTTTTCTGTGTGTAATATTACACTTAACAAAATATTTTTTAACACATTATTGTATTAAATAATGTGTTATCAAAAATTGTTATTTCATAAAAACTCAATGTTGACATTAATATCGAAATCGGGATATATTTTCGTATATCAATCCTGTGCAATTTTTTGAAAAGTCGCAGTTATAAGCAAAAACATATTTTTTTTTTTTCATTACGACTCTGTTTCTCGTTTACGTTGTTAATTATAGTTTATAAAAAACTGAACTATTATTGTTAATTTACGCAAATGTATGCAGACAAATCTTGGCAATCGGTTTTGTATTCGATAATCATACTCGTGTGTCCGAGAATAATCTCTATAAATCGCATATCGCGCACAGGCGGTTCTCTGTGTTATATGACGCTTCATCGTTTGGCTCGTGTTCGTCGTTCACGCTTATCTATGAATATCGCGTTGGCCCCACGTGCGGCGCATACGCGTAACGTGTTGACAGCACGATAGTCGAATACGATGATAATGAGCATGTTATTATGGAGATGACTATGTTGGCAGATATGCAAGTTCAAACAATAATTAATCGTCAAATAATTTTTCTTGTCTCATCGACATTGTGATAAATTTATTTTGTCGCGGATATAAATTGGTACATTATTTTTTAGCATGACATTTTTGAAAAACTGCTGTTTATCTTCAAGGCAGACATGTTTGTGTAAATATTCATATAATTGTTGTAATCAAGCATCCCCCGGACAAATTTCTGGCACGATTCGGAGTCAATATTTCCTTAGCGAAAATATCGCAGAATATCATCCGTCATTTGTCGCGACTAATTTGCAATGTTAAATCTCTTGGCAAGTAAGTATAAGTCTAAAATGTAATCTCTCTGTCTCTCTCTTTCTCTAGACTCGCTTCAAGATAAATCAGAGATACAAAGTTTTGTATAGAATTCTTCTAAAGGAAAACTGACTCCGAAGTATGTTTCGCAAGTGTTTTTCAATTTGATCTCCGAATGTATTATATTTGTCTTACAATGTGTCTCGCGCACGTATAAAGAGAGGCAAGTATGAAACAAAACGCTAATGTCTGTCGTCGACGCTCTACTGTAGGTATTCGGTCGCGTTTCAAAAATAACTAACGACGAGAAAATAGAGGACTGCGAAAACGCGTCCGCGACGCGGACGTGATTGTCGGCGACATTAGCGGATACGAGGTTGACATGTGCACGTGTATATACACACGGCATTTACACACTCGCACCTCAAATCCATGTATCTATATGTATATACTTTGGTGTTCAGAAAATGTATATATACAGTGACTACGGAGCCGCGTAATCGGTTTCGGATCGATAAATCGCGTACATATATGGTCGCGCCCGCGACAATAAAAAGCCAACGTTGAGCGTTTGAGAAATGTAATTAATTGTGAGATATATGACATGGAAATCGCAGAAATCGAATCGCACGCGATGTTAACGTCTGTGCGCATTTTTCTATCCAGGAAGATTAACGCTCGTCGCAGGAACGAAGAATATAATTTTAACGCTTCTTTCTTTTTTGTAATTTGATGACGTGGTTTCTTCTTGTCTTTAACAGTCGGGAACTATTGACGTAAATTTGCACCTTTTTATAATGAGATAAAGTTGACAGAGTCGACTATAAACAACAACACGACGGAACGTTAATAAAAATTGAAAAGTTAAGAAATATCAATGATATGCAATATTTTGGAATTTTTTATATGTCATGTTACGTGTTAAGAACTCTGTGCTATTAGTTCTCGCATAAATTTGCGAGCTCTATGTCTACTTTTTCCGCAACTCTTTTGTAAACTTTTTATAAATAATTGCAAAATTTTCGTGTATATATATGCTCTGTACGGAAAGTTGTGCTACTATATATATAGATCGATGAGTTATGTATGTATGAACATGCGAAAGAGAGCCTATGTGTAATACGCGCGTTACCCTAGTAGGTCTTGCATTAATTCCGGGAGTTAATCAGCCTTGGTAGAACGCGCGACCTCCGCGTGCTTCAATGCGGGCTCATAAACGTTGAATTACCGCTGCGAAATATAAGTACACGCGAAAGCGGCTCTCCGGTTACTTTGAGTAAGGTCAACGGTAAGTAAGACCGCTATGTCCGTCGTAAGATGCACGAATCGAAGAACTGCAATACATTATGATGTTCTATATCGCCTATAAAAAAAAAGATATTATTATTATTAAAATTGTGTTAGCCAAAGATATATAAACTTTGATAAAACGGTATAATTTTTCTTGTACATTAATTCATATGCAAGTATATCGATTGCGATAAATGTAAATAACGCAACACGCGAGTTGAATAATGTTCCATGCTTATTATTAGTAAGCAGATGCCTATCTATCGCTCACTATTTAAGGCGTTCGCGATAAATGTTAAATATTTCACTTGTTACCGTAATGAATATCGTATACATTAAGAAACGTGGTCAGTGAACCGCGCTTATAGACGTGACGCATGTCTTTCCACGTACACCGCGTGATAAATTTCACAATTGTGAAGCACAATATACCATTCCATGTATTGTTAACACACTCGTCCCTAGTCTACGTCGTTCTTTATGCGCTGCGTCATAGCGCGAGAGAGAGAAATAACCATCGTTTAATATTATGAGTTTTATTAACGAACCTTGATCTGCGATGAAGGGGAAGATACACAATTTTATAATGTAATAAAATTAGAAGATATACTTTTTTCGAAGATCGCGCATTTCTTTACGCTCCGCTGTGTCGCGCGAAGCAATCTACCGTTTAATATTTCATCGATAGCGTCAGTCAAACGAGGCGCGTCTCTCGCAAAGGCAAATAAAATCGTAAAATAGATCGCACACGACGACGCGTCCTATACATAAAACAAGTACTTCTATTGAAAAAAAAAAGCTTAGTTTATTCTCGTAAATTGCTCTCGCTCCCGATTCTGCCTTCCATTTGGCTTCCGGATTTGTCTGTCTCTCAAATGTCAGTATTGTCGCAACCGATTCCCCTTTATCTCTCGGCTCGAATTCATTTTATCTTATCTGCGTTGATGTGCAGCATGACGTATCGAGAGACGACCTATCTGCTATTAAAGGCATTGCGACTTGGTGTTTTCAATTGCAAAAATATTTAGGATGAAATTATAGAACATGTTACAATTACAATTGTTTTATCGATTAAAAGATATAATTACCGAACAATAAATAAACAGAGAGGATGCGTCAGAGGATATAATCGACGAGATATGTTCGCTTATTCATCATCTTATTATCCGCTTCGCCAGATGGTTTCTGGCAGTGATGCCCTCATCGGAGGAGGAAAGCCAGTGGCTCGTTGGCAGCGGGGGCGGCCTCGCACCCTCCGGCGGCAGCGCGACGAAGACGAGCGCGGGCGAACGTGGCCTGAACACTAGGACCGGTCTTTACACCGAGGAGATGACGACGCAGCCGACGAGCGTCGCCACAGCCGGCGTGAACTCGGCTTCGGCCGATTCCGCGGAGCACGACCTCATTGACTCCACCGCAGACGCGACCCTCTTGGCGCAGTTTCACGAGGACGCCATTAAGCAGGTGATTTTTAGAGATTGTTTTAGGAGCTATCTGTGAAAATTTTGGGATTAAAGAAGCGTCTTTGACTCGGATCGATTTCTTCTTGAAATTATAACCTTACCTGTGACGAAGAAGCTTTTATTTTCAATGTCAAATGTCAGTGATATAATTAGCTTTTAAATTCGTAAAGTATGAGATTGTCGACCAAATTACCTAATAATATATCATAATATCTCTCTTACTCGTTGTAACTTGCAATTGCAGTATATTTTATAGTTTCATACACAAGCTCCAAAATTTATATTATTTATTTTTTATTTGTACGATATGAACATATGAGTCATTTCAAACCTAATCGATTATGATCATTAATCGATTATCGAGATACGCTAAGTTCAGCTAATCGATCGTACCAATGATAGAACTTGGATTCGAAAACCGCCGCTTTATTGGCTTGTCGATGCATCGAGTGCAGTGTGCAGTGTGTAGACACAAAAATATGCGGGATGCAATAAAAACATAACCTAGGTAAAACGGCGTCATTGTTTTTTTTTTTTTTCGTCTTTTTAGGCCGAATTGTGAATGCTCTAAGTGAATGACTCCATTCTTTTACTCGTGAGCCCGAATCTTTTTTTCTTATCCTAGGAAAATGGACGAAGTCCTGGACGAGTCGATCGTCAAGGCAAAATATGTACCGCGCGAGGTACCGGGTTATTTGAAGGATTTCCCAGTAAATATTCTTTTCTTGACATTGGAGGTTACATTGGTAACTTCTTGCTGCAGCTACGTCAATTTTTAATTTGAACAAAGAAAAATACCACTGTACACTAGATAATGTTCAAATAATTATTGTTCAAATTGATTATATGATATTATAGCTAATTCTATTATATTTATTATATTTAATGCACATCAATTTTTTATTCGACAAAATTAAAATATCTTTTGTTAAATTATAATTCTAAAAAATAATATGTGCACTTTTTCTATATCTTTTAATTATTGACGTTTGACAAGACTACCCCATGATTTAATATCGCATTATTGCAACAACATTTAATTTATTTTCTTTATATTGAAAATATTTGTTGCGTATAAATATAAATAAAATATATATAACAATGTTATTGTAATGTTGCAGGCTGGAGTTGGTTACTTCCAAATATTTGCCGCTTTCTGTACAGGCTTGAGTCTTGCAGCTGACACTGTTGAATTTTTTGTTGTTCCTTACATACTGCCAAGTGCAGAAGTTGAGCTGTGCATCGAAGATAACGAGAAAGGATGGCTTGGTGAGTTGTCACTGTATCTTTTACAATATGTAAACTTGTATTGCTAAATAATACAATTTTTCAGGCAACATTACTCTTATTGGTCTTGCATTGGGTGGTTTATTCTGGGGTGGCCTCGGGGACAGGTTGGGAAGACGCAGGTCTCTCCTATCGGCCATGTCTGTACATGCTCTGTTCAGCGGTGTTGCGACATTTATGCCCACTTATGGCACTTTTATGACAGCTAGATTCTGTTCAGCTCTTGGGTAAGCAATTTCTTTTTTGGTATCTTATACGATTTAGTATTATCCAAATTAAACTAAAAACTTAAAGTGGTCATTCAATTAGCAATTATTATTATTTAGCATTATTCCATCTATCCTGTTACAGAGTAGGAGGAGCTGTACCGCTGGCATATGCATATCTCGCGGAATGTTGTCCACGAATAAACAGAGGCCGTTGGACGGGAATACTCGTGGCGGCGTGTGCGCTCGGAGGTGTCTACGCCGCACTCTTGGCTTGGGCAGTGGTACCCACGACAGGAGAGATGGTCGTTCTGGAAAACAAGGAACACTTTAGCGCTTGGCATCGTTTCCTGTTATTATGTTGTTTGCCGGCGTTGTGCTCCACATTTGGTCTTATCTTTCTACCGGAAAGTCCGAGATATCTTGTAGAGGCCGGTCGAGATGTGGAAGCGATGATGGTTTATCAGGTATATATATAAAACACATGAACAATACTATAAAATTGAGCTCTTTCTCTATGTAATATCTGTATCTCTAATGGTATAATTTAATGTCTCAGAAAATATATAAAAAAAATAACGCCCGGAAAAGTGCAACAGGTACACAGTATCAACTCTCTGAATTGGAACTTCCGACTAAAAGACCTCGCGGCTTGGCTCCGCCATCTCCATGTAATAATCATACTAGCGTTTTGGCGGACATAATATATTCGATCGAAATGGTAAATATCCCAGAGAAAGATCTCTTAAATAATCATATAATTATATATAAATATCTTAAATCTAAGATTTAATTTATTCTTTGCACATATGTAGTTCTGGAATTCTTTCTTGGAATTATTCACCGCACCCCATTTACGCGTGACTTTAATTCTATTGATTATCTGGTCTGCCGCTTCATTCAGGTAAGTTTTTTTGCGCGCATTTAGGTAATTATCATTAGTTAAGAATTTCATGAATTGATTCTGTTTACGCATTATGTTCAGTCTTTATGGTCTTATGATATGGTGTCCTGAATATCTGAAACTTCTACGTGCAATGGAATACAAAGCTCATACCGAACACTTTTATGAAAAGGATTATAATAATATAACGTTTACTGGTCCTTGGGAAAATCGTCAGTACAAAGATTCTAGGTTTTCAAATTGCAGGTACAAAAATGATATTTCAATATATCACTATAAAGTGGGTAATATATATATTTCCCAATTATATAATTAATGTATATTTGCAGATTCACTAAAATGGTATTTAGCCATGTCGATTTTGACAATTGCACGTTTCAATCAGTGGAGTTCAGTAGCATTAAGTCTAGCAAAACTCATTTTAGAGACAGTTTTATTTTACATTCAATGTGAGTACTAACATTTATACAATATCAAAATTCTTTTTATTTATCTCAATGTATAACTGAATATAAGTATATATATACATACCTTGTTACAGATTTATTGATACAGATTTATCTGCACAAGTTTTCACTAGATGTAAATTGAAGAATAACACAGAGTTAAGTTTAAGCGGGCCCTGTCCGACTCTCGATTTGGATTATAATATTTATATCGAAGAGGCGTTGCATGCTCATCTCGTTGCTCAATTGGCTTTCGTACCTGCTGCCGCGCTCGCAGGTTTAGCGCTTACCGTTCTTCAGCGGCCAAAATTAATTGGTCAGTTGATATGGCTGAATAGTGTAGTGTGTGAATAGACTTTGAACATAATTTTAAGTGACAAACATATTTTTTAGGTCTTTCGCTTTTTTTCTCTTCCGTTGCTGCGTTGTGTCTGATGTTAATTCACAGAAACAATTCAGCAGTTTTGGGTTTTGAAGGTGGCTTTACAGCCCTGTTTGCTGTTGCATGGACATCGTTAACTTTGGTGACAGTCGAGAGCTTCCCCACACATTTGCGGTAAAGAAGTAAAAATCTTATGAGGATTTAATTCGCGTATTTTAGAAAGTACCACGTTTACGCGTTTCTTTTTATCTCTTTTCCTTTAGGTGCACTGCTTTTGGACTTATAGCAGCAGCTATAAGAATATCTGGTCTGATAGGAACTGCAACATATCAAACATTAGTGGGTGCGTCATTAATTGCACCTGCGCTATTGACAGCATTGGTATTATTGATCGCTAGCGCTGCAACTTTTAAATTGCCTCATACTCATAATGTCTTCTTATAAGCTTTCTATTAATAGAATGTCAGCAATGCATATCCAAAATTGAAAATTTGTTGTTCCATATGAAGCGAACTTATTTGATGCTTTGCAAACTGAAGAATTGGATTCTCACAGAATAACCTCGAATACGTCGGAGATAGAGAAGAGAATCAGGCATGTAAAAAATGCTATCTTTTATTCTTTATTCTTAGAATTTATTCACGAAAAATGATGTTCAAGACATGTCAATAATTTGTTGATCAAAAAGAAAAAATTTTCTAGAAGACAAGACTTTTGTACAAAGTGACATATTTTAAGAAGTAATGACGATAAGCACTGTTGTCTTTGAAGACACTTGCATATTTGAAGCGCACAGAATATTCATAACGATTTTAGCTTGCTTGACACAGAGTAATCCAGAGTTGGATCAAAGTGTATTCTTGTATCTTATTGCTTATGAAATGTGAACGAATGATGTTATACAAGAATGATAATAATGTTCGGCGAAAACAAGACGAGAAATTGCAAGATCAGTTGACACAATGTGTAAGCTGTTTTGCAAGCATTGAGCAATGGATACGCGCATATGTGGAACTATTTTAATAAGGCATATGCCACAAAAGTGTCAATTTTAATAGAGGATGTACAGTCATCCATATAATATGATGAGAATCAGGCATGTAAAAAATGCTATCTTTTATTCTTTATTCTTAGAATTTATTCACGAAAAATGATGTTCAAGACATGTCAATAATTTGTTGATCAAAAAGAAAAAATTTTCTAGAAGACAAGACTTTTGTACAAAGTGACATATTTTAAGAAGTAATGACGATAAGCACTGTTGTCTTTGAAGACACTTGCATATTTGAAGCGCACAGAATATTCATAACGATTTTAGCTTGCTTGACACAGAGTAATCCAGAGTTGGATCAAAGTGTATTCTTGTATCTTATTGCTTATGAAATGTGAACGAATGATGTTATACAAGAATGATAATAATGTTCGGCGAAAACAAGACGAGAAATTGCAAGATCAGTTGACACAATGTGTAAGCTGTTTTGCAAGCATTGAGCAATGGATACGCGCATATGTGGAACTATTTTAATAAGGCATATGCCACAAAAGTGTCAATTTTAATAGAGGATGTACAGTCATCCATATAATATGATATATATATATATATATTAAGAAATATTAATTATAGATTCCGGTAAATACTAATTAGAAATCGGCAGTGTTGTTTGATATCTCAATTATTATTCCAGAGACTCAACACTCATAGAATATATAACTATTCTTACTTTCGATCAATAACAATATTGATGCACGACGTGGAACTTTTCGATATACTCCGAGTTTGCGAAAAGTATCTAGATTCACTCAGATGTGACTACAATAATGCATACAATACAGATCAGATTTTATATGTTTTTGCGAAAAGAAAAATGAAAAAACTCGCTTTACATATATTGAAAACATTTCTCTACAAGAGCAAATAACCGAGTAATTCAGTATACTTCCGCTTTTTACCGACTTATTAGAATGCATTAGATTTATTAACTAGACGTTAGAATATTGCTAATTCGATAAATGAAAAAGAGAGAGGCATTATTGACATCATATAAACGCTGCCGCATGAAACCTCAATTCTTAGATGAAGACTTTTGAGCGGAAAAAAATAGAAAAGATTCAGTTTTATAGCGTGAAGATCCAAGAGATTATCGCCTCTAGTCAACGTTAATCGTCTTTAAGCTTATAGTACGATCAATTATGAACGTGTATCTGATTTTCTAGTGACACGTATATTAAAACACATGTAGAACCTTATTTTCTACAAGAACCAGAATTACACACAAGTCTTAACGTATATATACAAGGTATAATATCTGTAATCTACTTGGAAAAATTCTTTGCTAAAGTTTTATCATCGTTAATAACAGACAATGAGTGTTGGCAAACTGAAAGAAAACTTATTAGGCAATAAGAATGAAAAAAAAAATGACGATGAGTAATTGTCGTGACGATATCTCGCGTACCGGAACTCGGAAAATACAACTTTGTCGAATCTTTGAGAAGTTTATCAGTGAAGAACTACTGTTGGCAGACTTAATAGGATAAATATTTACGTCCCATCACGGTTAGTGAATTTTTTCATATCAGACTGTTGATCAATATATACAGGAAGATTAATATTCAGGCCGAGGTTTTTGCGGATGTCTAATCCGAGTAGGGAGAGAAGTAGAAACGAAAGAGAACCTTGAATTGGCCGACACATGAGCGCCATTACCACATTCCAGTGATTGTCTTAGGGATAATTTCGTTTATTTCCGATAATATATAATTGTAACGGAAATCGTTCGTTTCTGCTTAGGGAAAATCACAATTCTTCGTAAACTTGGTCGTGGAGCGCGAGCTGTGTCAGTATCGCTATTGCGATTATACCTATTTATGTAACGCATATATTGGGATACAAAAATACATTTGCGAGCAACATATTTCCATTGGAATACGAAGTTACGATCAAATTAAGCATGTTCATTGTTGGGACCATGTGATGACCAGCTTTTATCAGCTTTTTTTCATATTGGAAGTTAGAATTAAAATGTAATAATATTGAGACAACAACGATGCCGGCAAATAACGCAGCTCCACGTAATTAATCCTGCTACAATATTCAAGTTTATCATCATAGATATACATATATATAGATATATACATATTACATTTTACTCGATTACACATATCATATTTATGAGCAAGCACTTTTAGATTCGTAGGCCTTAGTCAAATTATTGACTAGAAAAAATAAGAAACACACGTACAGAGGGGAATATGTAAAAGGCAACCGCGTGCGAGATGACTGTCAAAATAAGTAGACACCATGAGAATAGAAAATCTGCCGAGGCACTATTTCCCGAACTTACGTTTCTTTAGCGAGAGTTATGTTTAGCCGATAAATATATAGTGTACCTATATTTTTTGTTTTGCACAACGAGAGATTATCAACTGATCAAACTATAATCAAAAGCGCTCCGTTGATATGCAGCATTCGTGTAATTTGGTCAAATTTCGCGCGTATTCCGCAAGTAGTATTATATTAAATATAATTATTTATTATATGATTTAAGAATATTATATGCACACAAAAATCGTACTATTCGGACAGATTGAAGTTTGCTAAATCAGTTGATAATCATTGTGTCACAGAGAGACTGCTTTTTAATTGTTAAAGTTAAAAATATTTAATTATTTTTAAGTTAAGATCTTTAACATAATCGACGCGATTATATGAAATGATATATACAGAAATGTTTAAAAAAAATTTGTTTTTTTTGGTGGAGTTTTACATTTGGTCACAAACACATTTGACTGATCACAATTTTTAATCTTTGTGATACAGGGACAGAAATAATATTTCAAAGCGAAATTTTTACGTGAAGTTGTAGGGATAAAACTTGGGGATACATAAAAGATAATGTTTTTGAATATTGTTATTGCGAAATTCTTATATCTATCTCGAAATTAATTATATAAAAGGACATATAATTATTTTTTACAAATATGAAATTATACAGCAATACTATCATTATATATAGTACCATAATATATATATATATATATATTATGATATTATCAGAATCATATACAATAATATGTTCGACGAATTTTAAGGATGTTAAGAGAAAAGACATTTTAATATTATTATTACTTTATTATAGATCGATATTTTGCATATTGTTAGAATAGGAAAGTCAATTTTGCATTTTTTCTCTCGGATTTTCTCGTTTAAACAATTACATAATTACATATAGCTTCATAAAATTTACTTTTACGAAAATCTTTTCAAAGCAATCACATGAAATAAATATTTCTCAAAGCCATTAGCAATATACGAGTATAACAAATTTTATTTACGTAATTACAATTATAATTTTTTGCCTGTTGCATTAAAAAGATTTTTAGATCTTATTACGATTTCTATTATTGAGAAACTTTTTGTCGTAATAAAAGACTCGTACATATTTCGAAAGAATTGCGCATAGCACACGTTACACACTACATAATAGAGAAAAGCAACAATTAATTTATTTACATCACATAGAGCGACTAGATAAATTTATCTTTAATACGAATTGTTCTATTTATCTTTCGATTAATTCATATTTGTATATAGTCTTTGTAGTGATAGCGTAATTTCGTGCCGATCGAAATAATATCTAGCCAATATCTTCGCTGTCGACTGAAAGAGATGTCGCGCATTGGCGTATATTATCGTTTTGCTCATTATCAGCGTACCTAAAAGATTGAACAAAAATGAGATTATAAAATGTAATTCCTTAAGTAAAATAATTTTGCCAGCGAGGTCAGTGTGTCCCTCTTCATGATTTTTTATAAAACATATATCTTTCAGAAAAAAAAGTTATAATTTCGTTTTTATTTCGAATGCGATACGATTTATAAATGGATTGGACGAGTGCAATTATATATGCAGGCGAGAACGATATTTTATATGCTTGCAATATACCTTTGAACTGTATACGTTTCTATGCTATTATTGTTAGAATCAAGTTCATGAATGCGTCATAGTGATTATTTTATACATTATTCTGTGCTTTTCTTTAAAATCGTTTTTTTAATAGAGAATAATATGCGAGTCGGTTAGGGATAAGTCGGATAAGGATAGAAAAGTGTTTCGAGAAATTTACGCGAATGATGTATACTGTATATTTGCGAATAAATTTTGATTTTCCCGAAAACGTTAAAACAGTGGCGTTGAGAGAAAAGCCAACAGTTTCGGGAGTCCGTTTACATATTGATCTCGACGTATAATTTTCATACGATAAGAGTCGCAAATTGTGACGGTATTTAAATAAGATTAAGCTGTGAAATGTATTGAATTAATGAGGATTTTATTGAGTTTAGAAACATCTTTATTTATATGTATACATATATATTCCATTCCATATACAATGTTCCGCGAGTAATCCTTCATCCAAACTTTTAAAATATTATACTTTTCTTTCAACATGCGCTATTAACGAAAAACTTTTTAGTATAGTCAATAATTTTTTAATCAAAGAGCTAGCATCAACGAATCGATGAATCTCAATGAGTGGAAAACTGAAGATTGCATGCGCTTGTAAATGATAGAAATCATAAGATCATTAGAAACACTGTGAAAAATTTAGAACAGCTTATTAGTATTTTATTTCATTAGCGAGCAAATTTGCTGATTAATTCTGCATTTATTTACTTATTTATTACGAATAATAATTAACGAACAAAATCGCTTCCACTTGTTCCGCAGTAGATAATGCAGTAAGTTGACTTATCAATAATCGATAAAAAAGCGATCTTTGATTCCAACCATTTACTCGAAGAGAGCCATTTATCGATACGCATTTAGTCCTAAAGGATCTACGATCTTACACAAAAGAAATAATATATCTTGTTCTAGGTAATATTTCTACGACTTTACAGCAGTTATTTACGTATTGACACGTATGTATATTTATGACTCTTAGCTTAAGAAATGTAAATACATATTTCCGATGATCGCGTAATAATCTATATTATTTCTTATGTCACGTAGGCGTGAATTTCTCAAACGTATAGAAAAAACGAATTTTCTGGCGAATATATTATGTATCCCGGCGCGCGCAACGTCCTTTAGATCGTTCTCACAGATTGTTAACCTTGAGCTTGACCTTGGGCGTGCCCTGTTCTTTCCCCTCCTTGCGGCTGGCGCCGCGGATCATGTACCCAGAGATGATCCATGCCGAACGAGTCCTGACCTAACCTATTCTAGGCTATGTCTCTGTCCTCTCGTACAGACAAAGCCTAGGAGAGGCTAAACCAAGTTACTCGGTTCTCCTTCTGATCTTTTTTTTTCTTGTCGTCTTCATCTGCTCCGTTCTTTTTACAGCCTTCTTCCCACGGTAATTCCCACTTGCCTTCAGGATATCGCCGTGATATGGTATCTGGATTCATTAAAATGTTACCCGAGTATAACGATAATCTTAATTGAGAGGTAATTGCACAAGTTTTTAACGTATTAAATGCAGGGCTTTCTTATGTAGTTTTATATCTTAATCTATATATGATTATACGACACTTAACATATATGGTTGCTTTCGATATTAAAAATCTGATTTCGAGTCACGAAGTATCATCGATCGAAGGTCGAGGTTTTCAAAATACCAAAATAGAAGAGAATTTTTTGGAGAAAGTCTACAGGAGAAGAACCTGTCCTACAAAAATGTATTATATATCTTTCTCTCTCTCACACACACACACACACGCATACATTATCTTTTTAATATCCAGATTATTAATATTATGTACATTTATGCACGTACATCAAGGGTAACCTTGATAATAAATTGATGAGAATAAAGTAGTATCAGATGACGAATTTCAGTGAATAAAGGTATAGCTATATTTAATCCTTAACAAGCATAAAAACAAAGTTGAAAAAATTCTTATAGAGTACTTCAAATTATTACGTGTGTATGTGTGGTATTTTTTTTATCTTTTGCATGTTACTTTATGATTATCGATAGTACGTGTATATAATTATTAAATAAAGGGTTAAGGAATTTGATAACCGTTAAAATATTCTAGATAAGGGAGAGAGAGAGAGAGAGAGAAAGACATAGAAAAGGCGTCGCACTTTAAGTTTTATCGCGTGAGGTGCTTTTTGCAAGGAGTTATTTTTGCGGAGGTGGTCCAGTCGACCGGTACAATGAAAGCGTGTCACGCCTAAAAATACGCGGAGCACGCAGGTAGATGTGAAAAGGTCGTAGGTACCCGGGACGGAATACGAAAAGAAGAAAGAAAAAAGAGAGAAACAAGGCAAGAGGGAATTGTACAAGAGGCGGTGATTTGGTATTCAAATCGCCGGGCGGGCGCGCGCCCGTCTCTCCTCTTCTCTTTCCGTCTCTTTTACGAAATATCTTTCTCTTCGTGTCTTGATATCTCTTCCTAGATGCAATAAAATATATATAAAACAAGATGCTGCAAGAAATTTTGATTTAATTTTTCAACAAACGAAATATGTCCACTGATAGATGCAAAACTATTTTATTTTTTACTAGTTTCTCTCTCTCTCTCTCTCCCTTTTTCTTTTATTCTTTCTTCAATCTTTGTTTCTTTTAATCATTCTTCATGCGCGTTATCGAGTTCCTGTAAAATTTTTCGGATCTTGCACACTTTCGAAAGCCGCTGCCGTTATATAAACGTTCGATGTATCCTCGGTTATAAGTGCGTGCAAGGTCTCTTCTCTGCTACGATGATTCTCGATCGTGAATCGGTATGTGTGTGTGTGTTGTATCGAAACGCCAATTTATAACTCGAAAGTTGAAGGAAAAAAGAAATCGTGTTACGCGCACCGAAGCTTCCTACTCCGTTTAACTCTTTACATCTTATTAGCAAATATAATCTGTATAATCGAGAGCAATGCAAATTGCTTGAAATCGAAGAGCGAAATCCGGGCAAAACAGATACAATCTAGAAGGAGATATCGCGCAAATTCACGCGAGGACGATAACAATATCACTTTTAAAGTCATTGCGAGTCGCACAAACAGGCCGTTCAAGTTTCTTGAACTCATGCGTGATTTCACCGTTTCGTTATCGAGACACTGTGCGGTTTACGATCGCCGTTGCATTCGTTGATGACGAAAGTCCATCCCGTGCTGCACTTATGTGGCAATTTCTTGTAAATACACATACCTATACACTCTCTTTCTCTTTTGCTTTGCAGAAAACGCAGCGTGATGTAAAGATGAGAAAATCGCGCGAACGATCGTTCGCGTGCTCGATCCGTCTCGGAGACTCGACTCGGAGAGATTTCGATGCCCGCACGTGCGATATCTCTCCGTCCGTCTCCGGTATCAGCTGTAACGGGTATGATTACGTAAACGGAAACACTCTGGACCATGATTGAGAAACGTATGAAAAGCCAAATGACGTCGAAAAGGAGGAAGGAATTACGAGAGAATAAGAGACCGTTACAGCTTACTGCTTCGCCATTATCGCAACAGAGGATTCTTCCTGTTGTAATTAACACTCACTCAACGCGACGATGACGATTCGGAAAAACCATCGCGACGACGACGACGACGACAACACGCGATTACCAGCCGATCGCTCGCGATCGATCCCCCACCGCAGACGTGGTCTCGCAAGACGTCCTTGCGAAATCCGTCGCGACGATCCGCCTCTTCGAGGCGGCGATCTCGCTTGCGTTTTCGATTTCCCCCCCCCCCCCCCCCTCTCCTACCGCGCGCGATTAATTTCGCGTCCTCCTCCAACTTAATGACACTTTGTCGGGCGTGACGGATATCGCGCGCGCGCAGAGCTTTCGAATTGTCACGTGTATCGCGCGCGAGATTCTTCCTATCGTAGTACGTGGCATGCGTATCGGGCGACTAAGCGGAATACCTCGACGATGAGACGACGACGATGACACGCACGGTATGCGCGGCCCATCGGCGAGCCTGGCACCCACTAACCGCTAACCGGTGAACTAACCGCGGGTGGCTGGCTAAGGTACGCGGCTCGGCTCGCTCGCTCGCTCATTCGCGATGATAATGTATGTATCTATGTGCGTAAGCCACGTGAGAGAACGGCGGGCAGCAGCATCTTTCGACGGCCGTTCGTCGAGGAACGAGGGAGAGGGAGAGAGCGAGAGAGGGGAAGTCGTATACTTCGCCCATAAGAGAGAGCCGGTCTCCTTCTCTCTCTTCCTCTCCTTCTCTTTCTTTCGTTACATACATACACACACACACACACACACACACATATATATCTCGTCCCTCAGTCTCGTCACGGATTCGTGGAGAGATCGGACCCTCTTCGTGGCTTTCGGTCGCTCTTTTGGCCGACTTCTCTCGCGGAATTAATCGAAACGCACACATACGCACACGTACATGCACGTTATAGTGAGAAAGATGGCACGAAGCGGAATAACTCGACGCGTAACCGCAACTCTTTTTCCTTTACAAATTGTTCGAGCCGTTGTAACGTGTCATGAGAGAAGACAAGAAGCCAAGGCAAGAAACGCGAGTATCGAACGACTTTAATATACCAGGCGATCGTTTTCGAAAAGCTCTCCTCTTTTCTCCTTTTCAACGGATATCGATACTCGATGTCGGCGAATAATTTTGACACTCCGTTATACGCTCCGTTAATCTCTTAAAAAATTTGATAACCACGTCTTATTCAATATAATTTATTAGTAACGATAATTTACATTTGATAAATTCGTACAATATATGATCTACGTACGCACGCGTTTTGTTTTTCTCTCTTTTTTGCGTGTGTTCCTAAAAAATAAAATTTTTATTATCAATTCTCCCTTCGTAGCGAGGCATAAGATAGAAAAGAAGGATTCTTCATCTCGTTCCAATTTCCTCCGATATCAATCAGGGTTTCCTTTTCTCGAACGTCGCCGTGACTTTGGTCTTTACCTCGCGAGATAATTAACGGGGCCGGCTTTTTTTATTCGCCACCCTGTAGATCCACGCTGCGTTCTCACTCGCGTGGCATATCTCTCATCGACGAGGTCCGATGAAGGTCGCACGAACTAACGCGAAAGAACGCCTCTCCTGCCCGAAACCACGGTATAGTTTAATGCACACGCTTGTGACATTCACGGTGCACGCGTACTTTCGGAATTCACGAAAGAGAGAGAGAGAGAGAGAGAGGAGCAAGTCCGTAATTTGTAAGGTTCAACCTTATGTTAGACGAGACCGTGTGTGTGTACGACACGCGCGATTAAAGAGCGCCGGGACCCTGTAAATTACGGGCATCGTAATTTGGAAATATGGCGCCAGATAATTTATACACAGATACGGCTTTAAATAATGCTCATTTGAACGAATCTTATGAAGTTCGAGATTTATGGGACTCGCTTCTCAATTATCATCATTGTTTCGCTAATAGAGTAAGCGCAGCATTAGTAAAATTTAACGCATAATGAATTAAAAATTGGGAATAATTGAAGTAAAATAATTCCAAATTGCTCTTCCTAATATCTAATATTTATTCCTATTCCTAATATTTTCTTTATTATACGTCGAGTCTTACTCGAACGAATATCAATGATATTCGTGGATTTTTCAAAAATACTAAATACTGATTGTTAAAATTGTTTAATATATCGTTTACAGATTCGATGTAATATTCAACAGCGGCGATCCGGCATGATCGTAAAAAAGCTACTGCCCGGAGGCTGCGCCCCATTTATGGTTAAGGCAGTCCCGCGCAAATAAGCGCGACCTTCCTCGCAGGAGGAAGTACGCAGGTACGGCATGCGTTTTCGGCGCCGGCTCGGATTCCGTTCGTCGCCTTTTTGGCGAATCGGTGCACACCCACGTCTTTATACCCGGTGACTGAGAAAATACTATATAATGTGTATGTATATTTTTATATGTCTTTATTTTTACAAAAAGTCCTCGGATCCACTAAATCCGTGATTAGACCAATCTATCGATACGAGTAGTCCGATATCGTGGAACTCTCGTCAGTTAAACTCAATATCATAATTTCATACTTTGAGACAGCCACGTCGTATATAAATCATAATTGCATTTACTTGAAAATTGTGATATTTAGGGGAGATTTTATTCTCTCTCTTTCTCACTCTCTTTCTGCGCTTAATTTATATTATTTATTTGACGGCAAGAATGCGTAAAATAAAATAGTGACATTTTCTCAGAAAATGTAGGCATTATTCATACAATAGGGCATTTTAAGCGAGAAAATTTGATCAAGATTCCAAGTTAATTATCTTCTTAAACTTGCCGGGCAACATTAATGAACATTGTTCTAAAAACGCTTCTCAGACGCGCCGCGCATCTGTTCCATTTATTAGGGTCTATATTTCCGATCAACTGCTGATCGGAAATGGATCGAAGCGCCAAGGTCGAAGGCCACCAAGGCCACTCGAATTTGTCTCTCTTTTTATATATTTTTCTCTCTCTCTCTTTAGATGTACGATCTTCCGAGAATTGGACGAGATTTCGTCTGCGTGAAACGTTCATGGATCGACAAGAAGACGCGAGAACCGGCGGCGTTAATTAAGGTCGGTCGAGCGCGCAGGAATATATAGGCAGATTTTATCGTCGGCCATTATGGCTTAGAATACGACAGAGTCCGGCTACGGCAATACGCAACGACTCCATTAACGGACAGGCCAATCCGCAACGACGCGACTCCCCGCGTTCAGGATTCGTTAAAACGCAAGTTGGAGAAAAACATCTCGACGACGCGAGATATTTATCTCTCCTTTTTTTCCTTCTTATACTTTCCGCGAGCTTTTATTTTGCCGGCGACGCGAGTCTGTACGCGGATGAAGATGGCGGATACTACGATAATTTATTAACTAGTCCGGCGAGTTGGTTCCCCGGACCTGTTGGTGGAGTCTCGACACCGGCTGGTTTCGCGCCCAGACGAAATCGCAGCGAGATGCGAAAGCGTTTTATCCGCTCGAGCAAACCATCCCATTCGTCTTTTATTCTCGCGTGTTTTGCTCGACATATTTTTGCGCGCGATTTAATTTATACCTAATCGAGATTGATAACCGATATTATCCGCGCATCTCGCACGAGGCGTTTTACATATGCAAATGCGACGAGGCGTACACGAGAGTTACGGAGGTTTCTCACCGGAATTCGAATTCAACGCGACCTCGTGCGCGTTGCGAGAGGGGAAACACGACAAGTAGTAATGATCGTAATAATGTCTCGCCAAGCGACAGCGTACGGTTCGTACGGTAAAGAGCAAAGTTCAGCGTTCCTTCGCCGTTTTACTTCTTGAAGCGGCGATCTCTGCGGATAGTTTTTGAAAAGCGTTATGAATATACATGCTATGTTAAGGATGCCGATCGTTTCATCCACGATCATGACATAAAACTTAACGGATTTATCTAATTAGAAAAGGCGATTTAAAAGTGAGAAGAAAAAAAATATTACACACGTGTATACAGATGCGGAAAATATTCTCCGCTTCTTATTCAATGTCACGATAGTGGCATATATGTTCTTCATTCTGAGAGAATTATTTTTCAAAAGAATTTATTCTTCGCTACTTAACATGTACGTATTACCAAGAACGATCGACAATCTAAGGTCAGCTTGGTTTTTGCGCAAAGCAATCTAGCGTGCAGTATCCATAATGCATCAACAAGTTTTTATCATTCGCTCTCTGAGATTCGTATCTCGTAGTGCGTTTTGCATACGCGACGAATTCAGCTGGTGCACGAGAAGGATGCGCGGCGAGAAAACTGCGTCACGCGGTATCTGACAAATATATATATATATATACACACATATATCTCGCTGACAAGCGACGCATCGAGCATAATCTCACGTAATTGACTGCATAAAATTCATAATTACATAGCCTGGACGTTTATATGTTGTACTTGGGCTTTTATGTAACTATGCGCGCAACGTGGACTTTAACAGTCAGTCGAGATGCATGTGCGTTGCGTGGAACAACGCGTATAAGCATTACGATCGATAGGATATAGACGTCCGGGATATTTGATCCGCAATTACATTAAAAAAAAAAGAGATAAAAGAAAGGGAGGATGAATTAAAAAACGTTAATACTTATTTTCGACAAGAATACGCGCGTCGTAAAATTACGACATCTCTGAATCTTCGACATCTAATCGATTAATCGTTTATTTTAATTAACAGTTTGATATTTATTTTTTGTAGAATATACAGGGTGCGGCATTTATAGTGACGCGGGCATATTTTTCGGAAACGAAGTGAGATATCAAAAAATGTTTCAGACAAAAGTTGCATGGTTTCGAGGGGGCCACATGATAAAAATATGGATTTGACCTTAAGTGGTCTTTTCAAGGTGAGGTCAATGTGGTCGATGTTTTCTTAAATGGAACTCCCCATTTTTTATTACATATTCATATAGCTTATCCCGAGAGTTTTCTCCGAAAAATATGCCCGCGTCACTATAAATGCCGCACCCTGTATAAGTATACGTGTATAATTAAGAAGAACATCGAGCAATAATGAGCGCGGTCTCGGAGACGATTCGTTCGGATACCTTCGCGGATTCCTCCGCGAATCGCGCTCGCGGCTCTTAACGGTATGATATCATGCCAGTAACGATTTGCAATCGGCGGATAGGAAATTCTCGAGTCGTGATGTAAAAAAAGACATACCGCCCGAGGGCGTTTCTTCAACACGGCGCCACCAATACAGGATTGCGAGTTTAGTCGCGGAACGAACATGTCCTATCATCCTCTCCGCGTCTCTTCCTCTTATTTCGATCTCTTACACAGAATTCACACCGGCAAGAGGGGCGAGCGAACCTTGTAACGTCGAGTCTGGAAATTAAACTTCTATGATTTATGAAGCGCAATGATCTGCATATATTTTATATCAATAGTAATATTTTATGTTCTTACGTGTAAGAATATAATTTACAGGATAATAATATAAAAAATATATAAGACTCTTAATTTATTCAACAAACAAATCGTTGCGTTTAAAAGTCTAGTTGTTACAGTTTCACATGAATGAGATCATAGCTTGTAAATATGTTTGCACTTAAATGAATAACGCTTGCGGTTTCCGGTGTGGATTCAGTCTTAGGATATGAGCGTACCTTCGTTCTCGGCTGTCTACGATTTTAATTACAAGCACGGTTCTCTTCTCTAGGAGAGAGAACTTCTTGCTAGCGGCTTTCAGAGCCGACGTGCGCGGGCACCGTATCGGGACGAACACAATTACCATTATTTCGTCTCGATCTACATTGTTTCTTTTAGAGGCGAGTCGAGTGCGATTAAATCTTGATTAAAATGACGCGAATCTAGGCGAGGGCAAATTGGCGAGTAAATTTGCGCGAATATAATGGATACCCCGTTAGTTAGACCGTACTTTGAGTAATCGCAGCAATCTAATACGCACCGTTGAGCAAACGCTCGCCGTGTAACCTGCTTTGAGCTGTCTGCGAGCTACCGGACAAGATCTATCGGCGTTTTCACGGTATACGTATTTTCCAGTGAAGGAAATTAATAGACGCGCGCGCGACGCGTTAACGACGTAGCGAGCCTCGTTTATCTCCTGTTCAGTTTTTCGCGATATGGACAAGCATCCCGTGAGTCTCATTCTCGAGTCTTTTCCTCGGCATGAAAACACAGGTGGTATTCGAACAAAATCGAAGCAAGCGTGATCCAAGGCGATTAAAAGCGATTAATATTGAAATATATTTCCGCTTCTCGTTATCAATGCTTTAATTATATGACTCTATTTCTAGATTTCGATAAAAAAAGCGAATTATCTTTTGCAGCACATCTCGAGAGACGGTAGAAGAAAACTAGAGAAAAGAGTAGAAAAGAACGGCGGGGAAAAGAAGTAGGTAGAGAAGAACTTCAATAAAGTAGAGCTAGTACGTTGGGATATTGATATAAATGATCGAAATCACGTTTGTGAGAAAAAATCCAGTCCGATATTTAACAACCTCGCCTATTCCACGGCTTTCCGTCAAAGAGAGAAAGAGAGATTGGTATGTGAGAAAATATTTGTTTCTACAAGTATAAATCGGACGAAGCCATTGGCATTTAATTGGTATTTACTCGAGTCTGCTACGTATGCTGACGACCCTGACATTTACGCCGTTGCATTTTACATGTGTTACGCATATACTCGTTTTCGTTAAGCACTGTTCACATCACGTGGATCACCCTTACAATCGATGCATGCATGTATAGATGCGGTTTCGAGATTTCGCCAGATTACCTCGCCAGATATGTAAACTTCCAACCACTCTCTTCATTTTTCCAATTTATAATATTCTCTCAGAATATAATTAAGTACACGTAAGACGTATAAACATGTCGATGTGTGTGATTAATTAATCTATAATTATATAGAAAAAAAATAAAATTTATATTATAATTATTTCTATTTTAAATCAGATAAAAATTAATAACCAAATGATAATGACCATATGTTTGAATGATAACAATGAAATCTTATATACTCGACTGAGTTCTTAAAGAAAACATTGTGTGCCTCCTATTTTTCAGATTATCAGCTTCAATATATCCGTTTCCATATTTATGCAAGTACATATGATGAATTGCTTTACACACGCTAAGCTTATGTTAATTTGTGCAAACCTGTTTAATGCGCAAATATTGAATTGTAAAACGCTTCCGCCATCGCGTTGCCATTGCTACTATCTCGATGTACGCATTTCGCTTGTTTGTCCGTGATTCGAAAGCAATGCGGCGAAAGTGATTACAAAATATCGGATTTATTTATAGACCCCTTGGCACGCGAGAATTTCAATTCTGCTGGTTATCTAAAATGTTAGTTTCATTCTATAATTCTCTTTTATATCTTTTTCAATAATCACTTTGTTCTTAAAAAAAAATTATATATTAAATAATTAAATCTAGATTTTTATTTAACCATTATTAGCTTCCGTACGAGATTTCGTTGTAAAATAAAAAAAAAATCGGACGATATAGAAGACAAACAAATCTTTAAATTAGATCGTTATATAATATTATAGTGAAATTAACGGACAAACGTCATTCTTTCTCGATGCAATCAACCGAATTCGTTCCCTGGATATGTTACTTTTTTTCAAGTGGGATTTTCTCTTTTTCAGGGAGTTGCAATGTCGCGATTGTTTAGCATGCGAGGTGTTGCTCATGCGAATCGCGCAAGTCGTTGTTAACTGCGGGAACGCCTCGGGGGCCACAGAGGACGAGAGATCCCTTTACGTCGTCGGTGGGGCCCGCGCGTTATTTTCTCGCCGAGATAAGATCGGCGCCGCTAAAAATAGCACGGGCACACTATCGACGATACCAAGGAGCGAGAGCATTCCGGCGAGATTACCAAAAATCTACGATAACCTGTCCTAGCAGGATTTTATTGAGATTGACGTTTCCCGAGGAGGAGGAATGCGAAGCTTAACGGGGCCCCGCTGTGGCCCTTCTCCTCCACCTCTTCCTTCATGACGAGCTTCGTTTGCGTACATACATACATATATATGTATGCGGGCTGTTGACCGCTTTACATAACGAGAAAAGATACCGCAAGCTTTCACGAATATTATCGGCATCGTTATATCTGCGCTGCGTAAACCTTTTCAGCGCTGGACAAACGTTTTTATTAACAGAACTATGTGTATATGCGAGGATTCGCGCATCGAAGTTATCGAAAATTAAGTATGGCATAATGAAAAGATCCTCCGTACAAGGTCGTCGCAAGGCCGAGTGTCTCTTCATCCTTTCTATCGTCGGGTAGTTATAAGACGAAACCCCCGGAGTGCGTAATGAGAGTATTATTACGCGGTAATTTCGCAGAAACAATTCCCATTAAGCGTAAAGCTCCGAAACTGACTCTATTATTAGTTGAATCATCAGGGAAAAGAAGATTAACAGTGTTCATTGGAGATTAAATTCCAATGTAATTTTATCGAGCCTGATTTTCTACCCTGTCGGAATGCATATACTTCAGAGAATATCTTTGCGTGAAAATCTCGGCTCGTTTATATCGATTTTTGATAAAGATGAACGTTTCTCTCTTTCTCTCTCTCTCTCTCTCTCCGCGGATGAAGACGTCGCGCGTTTCTCATACTTCCTACATCGATCGATTGGCGAATTCCTCTCGCGATACGCTACTCGAGAGCGCGAACGCACGTTGGTGAACGTGGGCGCGGAGATTTTTCCATAAAACGAGTCCCCCTCGCTCGGATGTTGTTCGACCGCGGTGTATCGGGATCAATGACACGCCCGCAGATTCTCTCCCCCTTTGGGGATGTCTCCTCCGCGATCTGTGCGTGAAGCTGCGCCGGGTGGCGGTGTGTATGCAGAATTCCAAGCCGCCGCTGTGTCGTCGCCGCCGCCTTCCTTCCTTCGACTTCGCGCGCGCACACACAGCAGGACCTACTGGTTTCTATTTATACACCTTGAGCGCGCCGCGAGACCTTGCGAACCAACGCGCCTCTCACGCGAACTCAAATTTGCTATATATTATGTCGTATCCTTTAATAAGTATCAAGGGAGATGCGCTCTCGATACCACAAAATTGGAAAAGAGATTAAAATTATTTAATCTTTAATCTTTAATTAAAATAATTCGATAGAAAGTGTACATATATATAAGCGCAATATAATATATGAATAAAAGCTATAATATATATTTTTCAAGAATAAATATGTATATATAAAAGAGAGTTATCATCTTTTTAAATAATGAACAAATGATATGCGCGCATGCAGTAAGCTGTCAGAGATTATGTTGCGTGGAAACTTATCAATCTGTACAATTAAAAGCATGATTTTTAAAAGATCTCTGACATAATATTTAGAATCAACATATAAATCGCTACAATATTCATTTATTTCGTACTTTGTGCTTGAATAATAATTCACTGACATAAAACGCGTTAACGAGTTTGGTGTATTATTATTTTCGCAGCTAATTATGTAAATTATATTTATAAATTTATATATATTTTAATCTTTTACTACATTTTTTTATGCGTAAATTTTTTAATACGCAAATAAATACGATGTATTTATGTTCATCAGTTATATACAAAGAACATAAATATGAGAAGCTTTTTGCATCTCTTTGGATGTTTATCTCTGGAAAGTTTTTTGGGGGGAGGGGGGGGGAAGAAGGAGAATTATCTCAAAGGATCTCAAATTATATGACAGCGCCATCTGTGATACATTTGGCGTACTACTACGCGAACTGCCGGCTCGAACTGTCAAAACGGCATTGACTTTATCGGTAGAATTCAGTGCGTGATTTATCACCAATTTATACGCAATCCAATATCACACGGTAACAATTATTCCTCGGGAACGTAAACGAGACAGATACAATGTCTACGAGAATAACGGAGATCTTTAATTCCTTCCAAGATTATCTGAACAACGAACAAGAAATACGCGAGGTGTGTATTAACGTTCTTTCCCGAGAGCGACCGTGAGTCTTGATAGGTTATGTTAAAATCCCCGCTCGTGTCGTTGAACTTTTTGCGACTCGCCGCTTTTATTTCCTAACGAAAAACTCGTAAAAATGTCACGCGAGCGCGAATAAAGTCGCGAATATAGAGCACTATGCATAGTATCCTTTGCGCGGAGAATTTTTTTTCAGATTCTTACGCGAGTATACGGGTTAGTCTGTGTTTACATATTTAAATGTCATTGACCCTTCCGATGATGCTCGGAGTCTTAATTTTTTTCGTACCTTGCAGATTTGCAAAGACTCGAAAATCACACAATTGCTAGTAAAGAGACATGAAATTTATTACTATTTTTTTTATTATTGATTTGTCGAAAACTAAACTGAGGCAAAGCATAGAAAAGTGCAGATAAAAATTTATAAACTATTTCTCTTTGCAGAAAATCCGCGTTATTGTCAAAGGTATCGAAAAGAGTGCCAGAGACATTTTGATGATATTACAAAATATTCACAATATAGTACACGATGTGGTAGACGAAAATATAAGTACGTTTCTAGTGGTACATTTTTTCCAGTATTAAACTTTTCTTCCAGGCTTATATATAACAACCTTTACATATTAAATGATATTTTTTTAAAATTTACAGTCATAGCGGTATATTGTACAAACGCGAGAGGAATATTTGAGGATGTAAGGATACAATATGCAAATCTGGCTGAAATAATACCAAGTAATCAGTATTATCGTTATCACGATCAATGGCGTTTTGTTACCCAGAGGCTATGCTTTCTAGTTGCTCTAGTTATATATTTAGAAGTGAAAGTTTTGGTCACCAAAGATACCGTCGCAGAAATATTAGGAGGTATATGAATAAAATAATATTTATTTTCACATATTACACACACACACACACACACACACACACACATATAATTATGATACTTAAGAATAATTGTATTTGCAGTAAAGGATAATAGAGAAGAAGGTTTTCATCTAGATCTAGAAGATTTCTTATTGGGCCTACTTCAATTATCTTCTGAATTGGTATGTATTTTTTGTATTTTTCTCATATGATGGTTTTATAATGGCTCATTCTTTTTAGAGCCGTTTTGCTGTAAACAGTGTCACCAATGGTGATTACGATCGGCCAATAGAAATTGCAAGATTCGTTAATGAATTAAATGCTGGTTTTCGATTATTAAACTTAAAGAACGACATGTTGAGAAAACGTTTTGACGCCCTGAAATATGACGTAAAAAAGATCGAAGAAGTAGTGTATGACTTGTGTATCCGCGGTTTAAAACCTTCTCCTCGGCCTACTGAAGAAACACCTGCTGTATAAATCTTTTTTATATCTTTCCACAATCTTTCACATTAATATACCTCCATGTGCATAAAGAGTACAATGAGCATAATGAGTACAATTGAGTCGTGCGAAAATATGATGAGTTCATATATAACAAAGATTTATATGTTCTTTTTTAAATAAAATTTTAAATGTAAATTTCTCCATTTTAGATTCTCAACATTCGACAAATTGCCGATATTATCGAATTATTTAAAATTTTGATAAAAAGTGGAAAAGTATAATTCTTTTTTTGATATTTTATATTTAAGTAAAACTATTAATTAAAACTTAATATTTTTTTATTGCCTAGATAAATTTATATAATATATTTATATATAACAATATATAAGTAATCTATATATTGTTTTGTGAATCTTTTTTTGTTTATATTATGACATTTATCACATGTGATATTACATTTGATGTAAAATTCCTTGTAAATCAAAATTTAATTTAAAATACTATATAACGAAAATATAAAATAGGTATTTTATTGTTTTTCTATAATTTTTTTGAAAATTATATATGTAGGTGTGTGTATATATATATATACATAAAATTAAATTATATGTAACAAAAATTCTGGTATTTCGATACTGATGTACAATGGTTTGAAATGCCTTAAACTTTGTTATTTATTTGAATTTTTAGTAGTAATAAATATTTTATTTTATGGTGCCTATTATTTTGACATAACATTATACAAATACAGTACAAAATCAATAGCCTTTATTAAAATCAAACATATTTATCATATTTTCTCCTTTCATGTACCTAGCATAATTTGCAGCAAATTGCTCTACAACATCATGCGCAACTGTCACACCAGATATGTGTGGCGAGATAGTCACCTAAAAACAAATTAATATCACTAATAAAATCTAAATCAAAGCCTTTTTATTTTGTAATTAGCGAAAATTATAATTACTTGTGGAAAATTCCATAACTTGCTCTCTTTTGGCAATGGTTCTTTCTCAAACACATCTAAAATAGCAGCCGAAATCCACTTCTGTTCAAGAGCATTTATTAAATCTGCTTCTTTAATAACAGAGCCACGGCCTATGTTAATAAAAACAGTATTCTTGACTTTACAATGCTGCAGAACGGTCCCGTTTAAAAGCCCATCTGTGTTTTGAGTGGACGGCAATATATTAATGATATAATCGCAATTCTCTAAAATATCTTGCAAATCATCTACAGTTCTATATTCATCGACATATGATAATTTGTCCTTTGGTGTACTGCGTGTCATTCCCCAGATAGTTGCACCAAATAACTTTAATTTTTCTGCCACTATGAAGAACAATAAGGAATAAACTTTTATAGACTTTGCTCGATGCTAGGTATGTTTAATTTTTGATATTTATAACTTACTAGTCTTCCCTATCGTTCCAAGCCCTAAGATTCCTATGGTCAAATCACGTATATGCCTATGATTTGTCAGTTTCTCATTTTCTTTCCACACAGCAAGCTTTTGATTCTCATACTGTTGTCTTTGATCACGTTCAAAATTGACAATTTGCGCTATCACGTATTCAGACATGGCCAACCCGAATAATTCACCAGAGAAACGAGTGAGTATATAATTTCTTTGCGTATTCTGTATAAATGGAATAAATTTCTCCAAGCCAGCCCATGTCGATTGTATCCATTTGACTGACGTTAATTTGTTTGCATAAGGTATTAATAAATCACAATCGGCTACTAATATTTCTGCTGTGTTAAGTTTGGACAAAACATCTGCTTGCCCTGTATTAGAAAATATATACATTTAAATATATCCTGTAAATTATATATATATAATTTATAGGATCAATTAAATTTTAAAAACTTACATATATATATATATATGAAAGTTTTTAAAATATAATTGATTATATAAATTATATATATAATTTATATAATCAATTATATTTTAAAAACTTTCATATATATATATATATGAAAGTTTTTAAAATATAATTGATTATATAAATTATATATATAATTTATATAATCAATTATATTTTAAAAACTTTCATATATATATATATATGAAAGTTTTTAAAATATAATTGATTATATAAATTATATATATAATTTATATAATCAATTATATTTTAAAAACTTTCATATATATATATATATGAAAGTTTTTAAAATATAATTGATTATATAAATTATATATATAATTTATATAATCAATTATATTTTAAAAACTTTCATATATATATATATATTTTTTTTAATTAAAATAAATTAAAAACATCTTTAAAAATTTTTTATTTTTTATAGCAATTACAATATTTCAGATATTGATGCAACTCCATTGTATTTTCACATTACAGTCATATACATAAAATCCTAAAAGTAATAAAAGCAACAAAAAACATTTTTTTCCGTTATTATTTCTAATCAGTTCTCTTTTTGCATAATTATCGATTATTAGGTTGAATCATCAATCACAGCTCGAAGAAATACGCGCGAAAATTCGAATGTGTCAAAATTCCCGCCCTGACGCATTTTTTTTACGTGCACGCGCCCACACGGAAGTGGTGGGAGGGAACCGTAATGGCAGCGGGAATCGACACGTGCTCGTCGCGAGGGGGTACGGAGGGGAAAATTAAGTGAGTTTAGAAAATTCAAGGACACAAACTGATGTGTCGCGTTGTGTGTAAGATACGGAACGAAATATGAAATACCTGGCGAAACGTCGAAAACGCATAGCTTTGGCAACCGCAGTCGCAGATGGTGAGATAACCTAGGAATCGTGGACAAAACCGCGACGATCTGCGTCATGTTACACGCCTCTTTTAATCCGCCATATGCGTTTAGAGCTACGTGAGTCAAGCGCGTGATTCGCTCACGTGTATTTGATATATTTCCGCCTTTTTTTTCTTCCCCTATCAGCGAAGCTGATAACGTGGCCTCGCTTATTTCTTCACCGCGTTTCGACAACTACACGTGGGTGCTTTCACACGCGCACTCTCTACACCATGTCTCTTGCATCCTTCTTACTCCAATGTCCAAAGTATATACCTATTTCAATTTAGATGCGGAAAGTGCAGCTAAAGCGAACGAACTTTCTATTTATATAACGATATTGCTCGTTTAGCACACGGTGGCGGACGTCAATTTTTTCTTCCAATTACTCTGTATGTAATAATAGAAATGTCAATTCTCGTTCATCGCTATTAATATCGCAATAATCAGAATTTAATACAGGAAAAATGTTACTGTAGTAATGTGCGCGGCACGAAAGAATTTATGTATGTATATGTATGTATACATACATTGACAGAGATTACGCGCTATATTTGTAACTTTATGTAAGCTCTGTTTTGTATGTTTCAGGATTAGGTCGAAGACTCATCTACGCACGCGATTTATACATGATTAAAGTAAGTGTACAGATGAAAGGGAGAGAGCGTGAGAACTTTTAAATAGTATCACGCTTGGCACACATGTGTACAGACGTGCGCTTTTCGTCAATGTGATTTTACGAGCGGAATTGTTTCGTGTGAAACGAAATTTCCGGTAACCGTGTAATTTGTCCAAGACGTTTATCGTGTGCCTAAATTGGACGATTGGAATCGGCTTAACTCGACCGCGATCGCGGACGCGAACACGTCGAGGGCGAGCCAGAGCAGCCATCAAGCCAGCAGTCACCAATAAGCGGCGCGTATTTGGCGCTCGAAGTGACTTGGAGTTGACGCCGGTGGCGGCGGCAGCGACGCGCCGATTCCCGCGCGGCGCACGTCGGCTCACGGAACTGCACGGCGGCGGCCGAACGTGTTAAATGGCTGTGCGTCGGCCATGATGGCTTTGAGCAGGGACCGTGTCACGCAAACATGTTTTCGAAGTGATATATCTCGTTTGGTGACTGAGTGACCGTGTTCCAGCGCGATGGCCGGGGAACGATGAGGCCCTGAGCGCTCTCTGTGCCGGGTAATTCGGCCCCAGGGCCCCCAGCCAGGCCTCAAAAGCAGGTCCACGGCGTTCCGCGAGCCCCCCCAACCGACCCGACTGGCATCACGGTTTGCGGCCAGCCATCCTTGTTGGTTGTCAACACGCGCGAGCCAGCCGCCCTCAGGATGAGCAAGCTGTCGTTCAGGGCGCGCGCCCTGGACGCCTCCAAGCCCATGCCGGTCTACATGGCCGAGGAGCTGCCGGATCTGCCAGATTATTCGGCCATTAACCGCGCGGTGCCCCAAATGCCCAGCGGCATGGAAAAGGAGGAGGAATGCGTAAGTCGGAACATCCAGCCTCTCGTTCCAGCATGTTTTCCCCGTCCGCCATCTTACCCACGGCGCGCGATTTCGTAAACAACCGGCAGATGGCGAGTCCCCCGTCATCGTGCACCCTGGAAAATTCTTCAATTTTCCCCTTTTTAACGTAATTGCCAATCTGTTCACCATTCTCGATCGTCTTCCGTATGCACTTGCGTTCCCGATCTGACTTGCTATGATAGCTGTCAACATTTGGTTTACCAGCAATCCCAAATTTTACCTTGCGCTACATTCTGCTGGTTTCCTGCGTCAAAATGTCAAATGTTTTTCTATTCGACATTTTGACAATGCTCTCGCGATGCCTTTTACATACAAGAATCTTTAACTTGTACACAACAATACCCTGGAATTTAATTTTATTATGAAACTTTAAAATTGATGCATTCGTATCTTGATTTTCTTGACTTTATTATGTGCAGCGTGTTGCAATGTTATTTGTAGCGAGTTACAGATACATTTACATTTGTAATATCAAAATATAGATATTTATAATCTTTTGAATCTTTAAATGTCAATAATAATGTATCAATGTTCGATGATTATACTTTTCATTAAAAAAAATGATTACTTAAAATATCATTAAGTAACCGGCAGATGGCGAGTCCCCCGTCATCGTGCACCCTGGAAAATTCTTCAATTTTCCCCTTTTTAACGTAATTGCCAATCTGTTCACCATTCTCGATCGTCTTCCGTATGCACTTGCGTTCCCGATCTGACTTGCTATGATAGCTGTCAACATTTGGTTTACCAGCAATCCCAAATTTTACCTTGCGCTACATTCTGCTGGTTTCCTGCGTCAAAATGTCAAATGTTTTTCTATTCGACATTTTGACAATGCTCTCGCGATGCCTTTTACATACAAGAATCTTTAACTTGTACACAACAATACCCTGGAATTTAATTTTATTATGAAACTTTAAAATTGATGCATTCGTATCTTGATTTTCTTGACTTTATTATGTGCAGCGTGTTGCAATGTTATTTGTAGCGAGTTACAGATACATTTACATTTGTAATATCAAAATATAGATATTTATAATCTTTTGAATCTTTAAATGTCAATAATAATGTATCAATGTTCGATGATTATACTTTTCATTAAAAAAAATGATTACTTAAAATATCATTAAGTATATATACGTGAAATATGATTACTATTCTTCATGTTGGTATAATGTGTGTACAATTATAACATACAGTTGTAACACATAAGACTAATATTAGTTAAAATAAATTTCTCAAAATAATAGATTATAATGTAGAAATTCAAATTTATTGTTAAATTTTTGAAACAAAGATTTTTGTAAATATATTATATTTTGAAAATCTTATTTACATATAATAATAATTGTGAGGGATTTACAAATGCTTTATTACAAATTTAATTAAGTAAATCTATTTGTTATGCAGGAACATCATCTTCAAAGAGCAATATGCACAGGTCTAATTATTCCTACTCCTGAAGTAACCGATCTGGCAGATCTGGAAGCTTACGACAAGATATATCCTGCTAATTATAAGCTGCCCCGCCAATTAATACATATGCAACGTAAGAGGCCATTAAGATATTATTTTATAACATATTTGTACAGCGAATTATTTGTGATAAATAATTAATGGATTAATTTCTTATTTGTTGACAGCCTTTGCTATGGAACAAGATATACCTGATTATGATATGGATTCAGAAGATGAAAAATGGGTTGCGATACAAAGCCGCAAAATGGACTTGACTCCTCTCCAATTTGAAGAGATGATGGATCGTCTGGAGAAGAGTTCAGGACAAACTGTAGTTACCCTCAGTGAAGCCAAGGCACTTTTGAAAGAGGATGATGATTTAATTATCGCGGTTTTCGACTATTGGCTCAACAAACGTCTTAAAACTGTAAGCATCACATTTGTTCAATGTGATTTTGAGGTTATGTTGCTTTGTCTTATATGTATATGCTTATATTATCTATCAGAAACGTTGAAATGTGTACAAATTGTATTCTATTGGTTTGTTCCTTATTTTTCTCTACGAAATTAATCTTGAACTTGTAATATTTCTAAATTAATTTCTCAAATATTATCTGATAATTCCACTTATCTATTTTTTTTTTGCAGCAACATCCACTGTTACTAACGGTTAAAACGGAGAATCGATTCGGTTCGGCTGCCAACAATCCGTATCTTGCGTTTAGACGACGCACGGAAAAGATGCAAACTCGCAAGAATCGTAAGAACGATGAAACAAGCTACGAGAAAATGCTAAAGCTTCGTAGGGATCTTAGCAGGGCAGTCACACTTTTGGAAATGGTGAAACGTAGAGAAAAGACGAAACGGGAACACCTGCATCTCACAATTGAGATTTACGAGAAACGGTCAGTGTAAAATTGTGATAATATATGTATTGCTACATATATGTATACAGGTGTTACTATTCGTATTTTGTTTTCGTTGAATGAAAACCACATCTCTGATTTTACAGGTATCAAGCGCAAGATTTCAATGGACAAATATTGGCAGAGGTGTCGGCGTTAAAGGCACCGAGACCAGCGTTTGCTCCGCTCTTTACCAATCAGTTTGGTGTTCATCAAAACTGGACAAACAAAGTCTGTAGTAAAGTATGTGTCAGTATTAAAGAAGAATCATTATTTTTATGTATTATCTGCTATATAATGATTTAACGCTTCACTTTTAATCTAGGACGAGGTAGTGCCCAGGAAAGAAAAAAGACAGTACAAGAAACGGAAACATAAAACAGACAGCAGAACAGGAAATTTAGAGGATACCAGTGTCCGTAGCGGTACGGGTAGCGGTAGCGGTCGAGGAAATCGTCCTATTCTCGGAAGCGGGCTGGACCCGCTCATCAGCTCAGATGAGGACAGTCCGCTTCCATCTCATTCACACTCTCAGCCCTCGTTATCCTCCGACCGCGACGACGAAGACCCCGTAGATGAAGGTCAATTCGCGTTTCGTCGAAATAGGAATAGCACTTATTTACCGGTAAGCCGCTTTATTAGCTTTTTTTTTTTAAATAACAATTTTATATCTATTTAATCAGTCGAATGTTTGATTAATGCACTGTTTGTTTTATTATTATACAATATTATATATTTGTTGAAAATATTTTCAAAAATACTTAGATCAAAATCATTAAATTGGTTGATCTTTTTTGATCAACCCATATCGATGACATGTGTTTTAGATGTTCTTCTTTCCGTGCGTACCACTGCAATTAATCAGATCCTTAAAAAGCTATGGAATTAACTTGAAAGTTTTTTTCTTAGGATTATATATATAGAATTTTTCTATTTGTAGCCTGTATCAGGTGGTTTTGGAAATTGGCCTTGGTGTGATAAAGATGAAGGTGGTTTGGCTGATAAGAAGTACAGGTTTGCGCTGACTAGCATTAGCAAACCAATACCAAGGTGTATCGGCCTTGCACGACGGAGAATTGGTCGAGGTGGCAGGTAAGATATGTGCAAATGTTACATGAGAAAACATTTAACTGTGTTTGTTTGACTAATTGTTTATTTGTTACTGTTAACGATTTTCAGAGTAATACTAGATCGCTGTACGGCCGATATAGACGACATGTGGTCTTCTTTAGATTTCACGATACACGATTCTAAGCGTGAGCCGGTGGATTCAAACGCGACTGCCACAGCGATGACCGCCGTTAAGAAAGAGTGGTATATCTCCTTCCAGCTATATTTTGTTATCATTTATTATCAAATATTGTATGCTTATAATTATATGCTCTTAATTTATATTTATTTAAGGATTTACGAAAAAAAAGCCTCAAGCCTTTTGTACATTTTAGCTGTATCATGTATTATATTTATATCTCTGTTTGGCAGGTTACATTTTCGACCAAAGACTCCGCCTGTGTCGGTGCATAGTCCAAGCGAGGAAAGCAGCGATGACATGGATTTGGATGTAGAGCCAATGATGTCTCGATCCAAGCTTCCATACCCGTTCCCGCCCGAGGCGACGTCCATATGCATCGAGGTGGAGCCGGAACGCGCGGGTGACGAGTCACCATTCACATCGGAGTTTAATATCGCAGATTACTTCCCGGCGGACACCGTGTCGGACTTTGAATTTGCGGTAGCGAGCCTCAATAGTACGGGTAGCACCAGTGGTCTGTCGGACAATAGTGGCGTGAAAGAATCACGGACAGACGAGCTGGGCAGCTCACACTTTGTGGTGACACCGCTCATGAGTAATCTGTTTGCGCCGCCTGCAACGACGCAGCAGGCCCGGCCTCCTCAGTGCAGTGGTGGCAGTTTCAGTGGTGGTTCTAGTGTTGTAAATACTTCTACGAGTTCTTCGTCGATTCCTCCGTTGTCCTCCGTTATCGTCACGTGTACGACTAATCAAGCTGCCGTAGCATCAAGTACAGTGTCCACACAGTGCACCAATGTCGGCATGGGTGCTACGGTCGACACGCAGTCGAATCATCATCAGCCCAACAAGCAGCAACATAGACAATTGCCCAACAACAGTAACGCTGCCTCCATTCTCTCGAAATCCTTGACTAGTCCGACAAATAATAGGAATGGCAGCAATTGCGGCGTTGGCAGTGGTGGTGGTAATGGTAGTGGTAATGGTGGTGGTATTAGTGGCGGTGGTAGTGCGAACATTAGAGTGTTTAGTGCGAGCACTACGTGCAGTGCTGGCGGCGGCAGTGGTGGTGGTAGTGGTAATGGTAGTGGCATTACAAACTTTGGCAACAACCACCAGAACGGTCCACTGCCGCATATAAACAACTCTAACAATCTGACAAACAGCACCCACATCGTGAACAACCAACAGTCCACGTTAGTTTTGCCACAGAAGCATCCGCCGTCCAATTTGCTACCTGGCCTGATAGCGCAAAGTAAATTGGCAAGTCTCGCGAGGCAGCAGCAGCAACAGACGCAAAATCAGGCGCAACAGGTCCCAACGTCCGGGGAAATTACGCTTAATAGTAATAGGTAATTTAATATTTCTATGCCTGTAATTTCCAATTAGTAATTTCAAGCGAGAATAACAAACTTTTCTTTGAAAATGCAAAAGAACTGGTAAAAACATCGTGAATCAAAGTATTCGACGATGGAAATACGATTGTACGATCGTATACAGAATATATTTCGGCTTTAATATCTTAACGACGACAGCTTGATTAATCGTTTATTTGTTTTTAGTGAAAGTTTGGATATGGAGGTGGATGGAGTGGACAATTCGCCGTGCGACAGCAAACCGCAGCAGCAGCAGCTCGTACGGGCAAACAAAACAAATTCACTGGCGATGGAAGTGACATGATGCCTGCTATCGGCACCCCTGTTGCCGCCAATACGTCACTGGGGGCTTCGTTAAATTCTCTTACCTTGCCTATGATGTCTGCCTCGGGCGGGAAATCGGACGCGTACTGATGATATATTGCGCTACATGTTGACGTGAAAGAGCGATACGGCTAGGTACAATTGCAAAACTGCTCCTTCGATCGAACCAGTTGCTTTATTGTGCGGCGATGCAAATCAGCGATAGCGTGGATTCTGATGCAAGTATCAAATTTCTTTTTCTTCTGTCTTCATTGAGGGAGGATTGTAATCGATCCGTATTTTTCAAATTTTCTTTTTCCTTGCTCATTGAACGACCATAGCCATTTACGATTGCTAAATATGACCATGATAGCCATGTAAAAAAATGTTGCCATTGTTCCTGTGTAGATACAAGATTCCGAAGTTAATGTATCCAATTGCCCGAAATTAGCATTTAATATTTTTAGTAATAGTGCTCGTTTTCTTTGTATATCATAAAAATGGAGGGCAATATGTATATAGCCAGAAGATAAACTGCATTCTGGCTCACAAAGGATACATATTAATTGTAGGCAAAGTTTTAAAATTATGTACATAATTAAGTTTCTCTTCAAAATATAGCGTGCAATACTATTTTGTTGTTTTTAGTCTGCAATAGTCTCATTCGTTCAATGCAAGGAAAACTGTAACCAGAAATCTGAAATGCAAGTTATTACATGTTTAGGTTATCGAAATCTTTTTTATCAGCTTCAATGATACAAAATAATTGATAAACGCGTACAGCAAGCTTTCTCAGACACAGCATTAATTATTGGATTATCGAAATTTCGCAATAAAACTCTTTTAACTTTATACATCTACATTCAAGATATTACGCTCAAGAATATAGACTTTGCGTTTTGTCATGGATATTGATCGATAATTATTTTAATTTAATTTTATTATGATAATCGATCGACATTATTTAAATTTCCCCCAAAAATCGGGTAATTGAAATGTTTCGGAAAACGATTTAGAAATGATTTACGATATAAATTTCTTCATAATGATATGTAAAAAAATTAATTCGCGCACAGCACTACATTAATAATGATGGGGATTTTATAATAATCTGCTCTTGTAAGTACAATAGTATGCTTGAATTACTTCTCATCGCTTTCCAGATAAATGACATTATACATAAAACGAAAAATAGATTAATTAATTTCCTACGAAAGTGTACGATTTTTCTCAATACTGTATATATAGATTCGGTTCGAATATTATATGACTTTATATAGAGTAATGCTATTTCCTTATACATACATATATACATATATATATATACAGGGTGTGTCGAAAGTCTGGATACACTCAAATATCTCGTAAACATTGCATTTTAGAGAAAAATATTTCAGACAAAAGTTGTAAGGCTTAAAAAGACACAATCAACGGTAATAGCTGTTTGACCTTGGATGGCGTTGCCAAGGTCAGATCAAGGTCA